TATTTAATATTTATAATATAAGAATTATTAATATATTTATTAGCTTAATTAATAAGCTTAAAGCTATATTTAATAATAATATATTTAATAAGCTTAGCTTTAAGAATATTATTATAAATTTTTATATTAAGGGTTACTTCCTTAATTAAAATCCATGCTATATTAAGCATCTTAGGTTTATAATTATATAACTTCTTACTTTAAAAGAAGGCTAAAAGCTATATAATAATATTATAAATTAAATTATAATTATTATATTAAGTAGCTTTATTAAAGATAAGCAGCATTTTAATGCTTATTATATAATAATATTAACTTTAAAACTTAATATTAATTACTTTCTTATCTTTATATTTACTTATTTAGCCTTTATAATTAAAAATTAATTAATAAATATTATTTAAAATATTATTAAGCACCTTATTAAAAATTTACTTTATTATATTATAAAACTATTAAATATTAGCTTCGCTAGCTTTAATTATTAATAACTTACGTTAAATTAAAACATTAATTATAAAGGTAATAAGCTAAGTATTAAAACTATAATAAAATAATAATATAACCTTATAATATTTAATGTTTTTTTTATTAATAAATTTAATTTATATAAGTAATAATATATTATATAAAATAATAATAAAGAACTTTATTTTTAAGTTTTTAATATTATAATAATTATAAAAAAGAAGCTTAATATAATTTAACTTAATATAAAAGCTAATAAAAAAAGCTTTTATTTACTTTTAAATCTTATAAATATTTTAAAATTCTTATTAATTATACTTAATATATTAAATATAGCTAATAATTTTATAATTATTATATATTAAGATAATATATATTTTATAAAAGTTTTTATTTAAATATAAACGCTTTTTAAAAAGCTTATTATATATATTATAAATATTAAAAATCTTGCCTTTATTTTTATATATAGCATTAACTTAAAGGAAGGGGGTTTTAAAGAACCTTATTTTAATGCATTTAATATTAAGTAGTAATGGATTTAAGTTTTTGCTATTATAAGTAAATAGCTAATATATATAATATAAAAAAAGTTACTTAAATGCCTTATTAAAACTTTTTTATTATGGGAAAAGATATTTTTAAATTATTTATATAATAAATTGCTATTTTAAATTAAAGTTTATTTATTAAATATATTTACCTTTTTAGCTAAATACTTTAAAGTATATTATAATTATAAGATTTATAAATTAATTATGCTTTTTATTAATATAGTTTTAAACTTTATTTAAGAAGTTAAAATTATTATATTAAACTATTATTTTTAAATTATATATATATTAATAAAGGTTTTAAGTAATAATTACTTATATATAATTTAATAGCTTATTTAAGGTTTAATATAATAAATAAATGCTTATACTTATAAATATTAATTATAAAATTTTAAATTAATTATTTATTTTAAGCGTAAACTCTTTATTTAATTAAGGTAAGGAGTTTGCGCTTAATTAAAAATATATAATCTTTATTTCTTAGCTAAGCTAAGATTATAATATCTTTAATATATTATATAAAGAATAAATACCTATATTTATATTTATTAATTATAACTTTAAATATTATAAATTATATATATAAATATATTAATAAGTATATTAATTATATAAATATATATATTATTAAAAAGTAAGTATAACTTAAAAAGCTTTTTAAAAAAAAAGCTTTATTTATATATAAATTTATGCAAAAGATATAATATTATAAAGTAAATTTATAACTCCTTTTTTTTATTAATAAAAAGATTAAAGATTTTCTTATAATTTATATATTTATTTTAAAGGAGCTATAAAAAAAGCATAAATAAGTTTAATACCTTTTATTTTATAATAATTTATATATAATTAATATTACGCTATATATACTTAGCTTTAGCAATTAATTTTAAAGTTACTTTTAAATTATTTAATATACTTAAAAGTTTATTATTTTTATTAAATAAGCTAAAAGTTAAGAATAGTTTTTTCTTTAAAAGGTTTGCTATTTCCTTATATAAAGTTATAATAAAAAAAATATCTTTCTTATCTTTATTTAAATTATAAATAATAACTTTAAATAATTAAAAAGCTTTATAAATAGCAAAATATTTTAAAGTATTTATAATAATAAATATATAATAAGAATCTTTTAATTATTTAATAAAGAATGCTTAAAAATTATAAACTTTATTATTTTTAATATTTTTACTTATAAATTTATAAAGCCTTTTTTAAAATATTAAAGTTTTAAAAATAATATTTTTTAATATAATTTTTATATTTTCTTTATTATTAAGATTTTAATTATTATAATAAAAATTTTTAAATAAATTTTTTTTATAAATAATCTTTAGCTTAAAATTTAATTATATAATATTCTTTATATTAACTTAAGGATTTTTATAATTATATTATATTACTTAGCTTATATTTATAAAGTTTAATAAATTTAAAGAAAAAAAAAATAATTTAAAAGTATTAATATATAAGTTATTAAATATAAAAGGAATTATTAAGTATTAATAAGTTATTAAAAAGTTTATAAGGTTTATATACTTTAAATAAAAATTAATTATTATTATTAATAATATAATAATTAAAGTATAATATAAATAATATTAAAATAATAGCTTAATTTTATAAATTTTAAAATATATATTAATATTTAATAATTATATATTTTTATAATAATATAAGTAAATTTTAATTTTATTAAATAATTATTATACTTTAATTATAATTATAATTATAATTTAGTTATAAACCTTCTTTACTTATATAACATTCCTTACCTTTCCAGCCATAATTACATAAGTCTTGGCAAACTCCCTATTAAAATTTAATAGGGAGTCTGCGTTTAGAAATGCGCTAAGTCATGCGGGCTGGATGAGGTCTGTGTGTCAGAGATAACTCAAGGTGTCAATGGCAATCTTGGGCCACTCCTGTGCTGTGCTCTCCGTTTCCATCTCCGTCCGTCTGCCTCCCTCTCCGTGTCCCTCTCTCCCTCACTCTCTTCCTCATGACAGCTTGCAAGAATGGCCCAGCAAGCACTTGCTCTAGTCTGCTGTGCCTGCTGTCCGTGGAGGGTCGTGTGTGTGATGATCAAGCACCGTCCGGTCCAATAACAAGTAGAAAGATCCAGACATGACCCGAGGTTGGACATTACATCGGCCGACATTTTTCATCCGTGCTCCTCCTCGCCTTCACCCCGTTCGCCCACCCCCCCCCCTTGCCCTCCCCCCACCTCGCCCCTCACCCACGGACTCTCGATTCCATGTCTTTGAGGGAAAACGGGGCCTGCCCTGCAACACGGAAAATAGCACAGGACTGCCATGGAATGACACGATCAAATTGGGGGCTGCCGTACGCCTGCTGTCCGCCTCCGTGAACAAGCAAACTGATTTTTTTTTCTCGCCGTTGTATTTTTGGCCGTCGATGAGTCGTCCATCGTCCATAGTCCATCGTGTACCGTCCGTTGCCTCCTGATGACACGGTCGCCCTGTAACCTTCCCATTGGTGAGCCCAGGTCAGTGCACGTGTTGGTTCGCTATCGGCATCGGCTGCTGCGGTGCGTGCATGTGTGATGATACTACTGTATGATATACTATTGGCGCGTGCCTCTCTCGCAACGATCCAGCCTTTGGTCGCCCATCGTCTCAACCTCAGCCGTCCCCTTCCGATTTGCTGGCACTATGCTTTCGCTGCGCCCTAGCTGCCACCTGCAACAGGCAATGCTATGCTATGCGTTTGCTTATGTGTATGCGGGCTGGCCTGGCCGGCTGGCGGGATGAGCATGCAGATTCTGTTACCCCTATTTTTGGTTTTGGGGTTTTCTAATTTTCATCTTCTGGATGCCTCTGCAGTATGTATCAAATATAAGACTCCGGCCCTCCTTCTGCAAGGGGCATGGGGATCGACGGTCGGGCTCTCAACAAGGCTCCATTCCCCTTTATTAGGACACGCTATTCGGCGCGATACCATCTCGCTGATGGGATCAGCCCTCCGCACAACCTTGAAAGAGCCACGTCGTTCCCACGTGTGGCCAGGGGATCGTCGAGCCGCCTACGCCACGCCCGCATTCTTAACGAATAGTCTAGTTGATCCCTAGTAGCGGCCGTTAGGGGATGGGTAGTCATCGCCAGCGTGTCTGCTGAAGCCGACTAGTCTGCAGTATCTACCTAGTCTACACACTGCAGCCTACCACACTGCTCTGCCCTCTTAGCGTGAAACAATCCCTTTCGAGGTGCGTAGTGGTTCACATAGACTAGCTATACCACGCAGCGGCACAAGGAGGGGCAACGGAAGCGGCAGAAGTTCGTCCCATCGTTATCAGATGTTTCAAAACAGAGCCGCCAATACCGTCTCCTGGTGGCGTTCGCGGCACTCGATCAGTCACTCACCAGCCGCCTCCTGAGCTCCTAGAAGACCGATACTAGTATTCATTCATGAAACCTTTTGGTAGCCACTTGATGGGAGCGAGAGTTCAATTGACCGACTCGCTGGGACCGAGACGGGCCACCTGGTGGTGAACAGTCGTGCTCAATCTCCTGGTGGGTTTCTCTTTTTTTCCCATCAGAAGGGACAGTTGGAGTGGGGGTTGGGGTTTGGACGGGTCATGAGACCCCCCCTCCCCCGAAAAACGAGTGATGTATGCAGGCGTCGAAATATGGGACACAACGTCTTGGGCACACAGCAAGAGTTTTTGGTTCGCAGGCATGTTTGGTACAGGGAATGTTAATGTTCTCATTCTACTAAAGTTACGTCAATAATTCTTGGTAGTCTCCAGAATGAGACACCATCATAGTTGTTGCCCTCGCAAAATCCTCTTCTAGGGATTGTCCAGACGCCAAAATCGCCTCCGATACAGGACCCGATCGGTCATTTGCTGACATTCTAGCCGGCCAGTTGAGCAGGATTTGTGACTCAACTAAGAAAATATCCATCTCTGGCATTCGGACACCGTGAAACAATCGGGTGTTCAGCACTTTTCAGATGAATTGGGACAGCCAACAGTCCCCAATTGGGGCGGGACGAGCAGACGAGGTTGCGGAAGTGAGCATGCCTTCTCAAGTCGAACCCCACCAAACCACAGATCATCCAACGCTGACACATCACAGCTCATCGATGCGGTCAAATCTCTCATAGTCCCATTCGTCAGAGAAGCAGACGAGAATGCACCCATCAGGGCCGCAGGAGGGGACTCCCAGGCCGCTACATGGCCTGCCAATGCTCTCATCCGCGGCGACCTCGTCCCCGCGAAGGACCTACACCAGAACCTCCGCGATATCCTGCCGGCGGACGAGGGCCTGGGCAAGGACGGCCTCACAGCTGCCATCTCGCAAATCTTGAAATTCAGCGTCAACACCTGGGACCAGGGCTTCCTCGACAAGCTGTACAGCTCAACCAACGCCGTCGGTGTCGTCACGGAGATGCTCTTGGCATCGCTGAATACGAACTTGCACGTATACTCTGTCTCGCCTGCTCTGACCATCATCGAGAAGGTCACTGCTAAGACACTGGCCGGGCTGTTCGGATTCGATGGACCGCACGCTGGTGGTGTCACTGTCTCGGGAGGGAGCGCGTCGAACATGACATCCCTTGTCATCGCCCGGTCTACGCTCTATCCAAACACCAAGGCCTGCGGCAACGGCGTGTATGAGTTTGTCATCTTCACCAGCGAGCATGGCCACTACTCGGTTGAGAAGGCCGCCATGACGTGCGGAATCGGCAAGAGCAACGTCTGGCTGGTACCGGTGGACAGGGCCGGGCGGATAATTCCAGCGCGGCTCGCAGCCATGATCCAGCAGGCGCGCAAGCAGGGCTTCACGCCCCTCTACGTGAACGCCACCGCCGGCTCTACAGTACTTGGGTCGTATGACCCCTTGGAGGAGATCTCCGCCATCTGTAGGGCCGAGGGCTTGTGGATGCACGTTGACGCCTCCTGGGGCGGGCCCGTCGCCTTCTCCGCGCAACTCCGCCATAAGCTCAAGGGCGCACACCTTGCGAACTCGGTGACGGTCAACCCGCACAAGATGATGAACACCCCCGTCACTTGCTCCTTCCTGCTGGGACCGGACATGCGCGTGTTTCATAAGGCCAACAAGACGGATGCTGACTACCTCTTCCACGGCGACGGCGCGGGCGACGACGAGGTCTACGACCTGGCGGACCTGACGCTGCAGTGCGGCCGCAGGGGCGACAGCCTCAAGCTCGCGCTGAGCTGGGTGTACTACGGGCCCAAGGGCTTCGAGAGGCAGGTCGACCACGCCTTTGAGATGGCTGCGTACCTGGCCGCGGAGATTGAGACCAGGGAGGGCTTTGCATTGGTATCGGAGACGCCGCCGCCATGTCTGCAGGTGTGCTTCACATACAAATCTTCAGACGTGGCGGAGGAGAACACGAAGAGGACGGCCGAGATGGTCAGGAGGTTGAAAGGCCGGGGCTTCATGATTGACTACGCCGCCTTCAACGGCTCGAGGAAAGATGTGCCCAAGGGGAGCTTCTTCAGGGTCGTCGTCAACGTGCAGACACGGAGGGAAACCTTGACCGGGCTGATCACGGCCTTGGAAGGAATTGGTCGTGATATCGACTCGGGATCATGATAGAGAGCAGCCCGCCTGGTTATGTCGTGCAAGGCACACAACGAATGCAATGGGAGCACTTGATAGAGAGAAGAGGTAGACCACTTACTGCTAAGTACCTAGATACATGCATTACACACTAAACTGCAGCAACGACTTTTTAAGGCATGAGTAGGGGAGCTTCACAGCAACCCCCCCCCCCAAACAACAACCCCCGTTCTGCTAGGGTTGCGATAACGATTGCGATAACACCCCAGATTCAAAAAGTTTCGAGAATTAGCAACGGGCGAAACTTAAGCTCGCGCAAACCAACTGCATGTAGCAGCAACTTTTCAAAAATGGCCCGAGACAAGAAATCGAAGCGACAACTCATCCGCGACGAAAAGAAGGCAAAGAAGCGCCAGCGCGAGGTCGAAAATGACGAGACAAAACAAGAGAGGAAGCGCCAGCGCGTCGAGGCGGCGGGTGGCGATGGCGACGAAGGCGCTCCCTTCAACGACGAAGGCTGCGACGGCGGCGCAGAACAGATGCAATACAATGGGGGTGGTGGCGTCCCAGCAGCAGAACCAGAGCGCGAGTTCTTTGGCATGCTGACCGACGAGGAGCAAGAATATTTCCGCAGCGCGGACGAGAAGCTCGAGACCAACGACTTCGAGTCCGACGAGGACAGGGGATACTTCCTCCAGAGCATATACACCGAGGCAGTGGGCAAGGAGCTGAAGCTCGCGAGCAGCCAGTCTTGCTCGAGGCTGATGGAGAGGTTGATACTGCTGAGCAATACGAGGCAGAAGAAGCGGCTGTTCGAGGCCTTCGCTGACCATTTTGTCTCGCTCGTCACACATCGGTTCGCGAGTCACTGCTGTGAGAAGTTGTTCATACAGTCGGCATCTGTGGTGACCAGGGAGCTGAGCGGCGCCGTCGAAGAGGAGGAGCACGAGGAAGGCGAGGGCGAAAGAGAGGGCGAACAGAAGGCGACGAAGGAGTCGATGGAAAAACTGTTCCTGTTCACCCTGGACGAGCTCGAGGTTCACCTGTCGTACTTGCTGTCTGACAGGTTCGGATCGCATGCCCTCCGTGTGCTACTTGTGGTTCTGTCAGGGAGGCCGCTGGACCAGGTCTCGACCAAGTCATTACTACAGAGCAAGAGAAAGGAGCACATCTCCGTGCAGGGCGGCCGAACCGAGACAGACGAGATGAACGGACAGAACAGGGTGGTTCCAGAGTCGTTCACTCTGGCGACTCAAATGATCTTGGAGAGCACGACTGCGTCTATGGACTCGACTGCCCTCCGAGTGCTGGCGACACACCCAACAGGCAACCCCGTGCTGCAGTTATTGGTGGACCTGGACATATCACTAAACGGCAAGGACAAGGAGAAGAGGGACAACCTGCTCCTTCTCAAGCTCCTCCCAGGCGCGCCCGAAAGCTTGAGTGACAATTCAACACCAGCCTCGGACTTTGTCAACTCGATGATGTACGACCCAATCGGGTCGAGGCTACTCGAGACGATTGTGACCCACGCGCCGGCCAAGATTTTCAAAGCCCTCAACGCAAACTTCTTCAGCCCGAGGATACACACATACCTGCGTAACGACATCGCCTGCTACCCGGCCATCAAGGCGCTGAACCGTATGAGCAGGGATGATGTCGCCGAGTCTGCCCGGAAGATGGTACCGGAGATACCAAAAGTCGTCGCGGCAAAACGGTACAACGTCTTGAAAGCTCTCTTCGAGCGGTGCAAGGTGCGGCAGGCCACGGAAGAAATCGAAGCGTTGCTATGGGCCGTATGCGCTGCATATGGTTCTGATGACGGCCTCAACCTAGTCCCCAAACTCTGCGGACTGGATGACGAATCAACATCAAAAGATGACGACCCAGCAAAGAAGTTCCAGTCATCACTGCAAACCGACAAGCAAAAGACGGCTACCCTGTCGCACGGCTGCCAGCTAGCCACATCACTCCTCAGCATTCCCGGCGCACCCGCGAGCACGGTGCAAAAGTCGATACTGTCACTCTCCACGGATCAGCTCCTGCACCTCGCGACCTCGACCACGCCGTCCATGATCGTCATCAGGACGGCGCTGTCGTCGCCGGCAGAGGTGCCCAACTTCCAAAAGGCGCTCGTGACCAAGCTGGCGCCCAGCGTGATGGAGCTGGCGCACTCGCAGATAGGGCACAACGTGGTCAACGCGGTGGTGGGGATTCCGTCCAAGGCGGCGGGCCCCGAGGCGCAGGCCGGGGTGGTGCCGTTCCACCTCAAGGAGAGGATCATGGGCACGCTCGGGGCGGGCGAGAAGGGCCTACGGGAGAGCTGGACGGGCAGGAGTGTATGGCGGACGTGGAAGGGCGACCAATGGAAGTTCAGGAGGAGCGACTGGGTGCGGTTTGTCAAGGAGGTCGACCCCGACGTGAAGCCCGAGGAGAAGCTGTGGAACAGGGTGGCTGATAAGGAGAGGGGCAAGGGCAAGAAGAACAAGGCAGGTAAGGAGAGGCCGAAGGGGAAGGACGGGGATGGAGAGTAAGGGGCAGAGTCGAAGATTCGAGAAGAGAAGAGGCAGCGGTCAGTAGTCAGAGATGCCTAGGCCAGAGCGTGGGGGGAGTGAAGGATGCTTGCTTCACATCTGATGATACCCGGCTGGAGGACAGGTCGAGACCGAAGCTGAGCCTGTCAAACTGGCCGTCTCCGGTCTCCGTACGGCTCCGTACCCAGTGAATAAAGTTTGAAACCCATGCTACGAATCTTATTGTGTCGTGGTAATACGTACAGGGCCCAGATTTGAGGATGCATATTGCAGTCCAGCCGACGTCCTCAGCAGCAAGACGTGGAATCTAATGACACGCCTCGCTACCGACAGCGCGGGACCACAACGGGCTGAACCGGACGAAACCGAACCAATCCAAACCAGACGAGATGCGATATGTCGACCACATGGCCGTGGCTGTTGGCGGTGGCGCCTGCTGTGGAGCGTGACACTGAAGCACGGCATTTGCGACTGTGGGCGAACTCACGGGCAGGGCCTGCAAGGGGGGCCGCCGCATGGGGGGGGAGGCCACATGGGGGGCACATGGAGGGAAAGGGCAGGGGTGAGGTCGCCCTGCAAGGGGGGAGTAGGTAAGGCGTGATGGGGACTTGTTGGGGCTCCTGCCGAATGAGGCGGGCTGCTCGCCTCGCGGGAAATTATGGACGCTGTCACACTCGGGTGCCTCGGTATGAGCAGGGGTGGAGGGGGTAAGTCGAGGTGAGGACCGTGAGGACTGTCAGGACCAACCGACGTGGACCAACCGCAGCTGCCACGGCTATAGACCAGGTAGTCCAGATCAACTGCTAATGCGGCGTGCAGCTGCGCTACTACTACTGCCCCGGTGCTAGCTCCTTCCCGGCGACGTGACAAGACGGACAAGACCACTTCGCTTGTTGGGTGTGAGAGCCACTGACTGCCATTGCGCTCGCTCACCTCCAGAATCCAGCCCCATCATACACGTTGACGCAGCTCCTCTCATCCCACACATCTACGACCGCTGCATATCATCATGTCCTCCGCCCTTTGATGCCCCCCGGAAAGGTGCTACGGGCCTCGGGATACCGCGACCTCCGACGCGACGTGCCCCTGACACTCGCTCATCGCGCACACATACTGTACTCAGCCTCCAGTTGCCACCAACACCATTGAGCCCTGAGAGCACCGCCTCTCGAGTCATCAGTTGCACCCGCCACCTTGAGAAAAAGCAGCACCCACGGCATTTATGTGCCCTGCACGCCGGGCAGGTCCTCAAAGTGCGCATACTCGCGGACTGCTGCATCCCCCTACTGCCGAGACACAGGCTGCAACAGCCCCCTTTCATGGCCGCATGACACCCCGCCGCCGACATGGAACGCAGTCCTGGATATGTCGATGTCATGGCCTCCGCCGCCCTGCCGACCATGCAGCCAGTCCACCATGTGGCCTGGGTCGAGAGGCCCATCATGTCCACGCCGTCGCCCGATGGGACGACTCCTGCCTCGACCTCGTCCTCGTCAGACGGCCCGCCGCTGCACGACCCTCCCGCCGTCGCCCCTGCGCCCCTGGACTGGGAGGCGCATAAGCAGGTCATCAAGGATCTGTACATGGGCCAGAACCTCAACCTCAGTGAGGTTGTCGAGAGGATGAGATCCTACAACTTTCATGCCACGTGAGCAGGCCCTCCGTCCCACGTGCACGCTCTCATTCCATAGCATTACTCATCTCCCGCAACAAACCCCGGCCATGCAATATCATGTTTCGGCCTGAGCTGACCAGCTGACCTTTATATGTTCAGTCCGAGGATGTACAAGGCTCAATTTGCCAGGTGGACATGGAGCAAGTACAACTGCAAAAGGTACTGTTCAGATGAGTCACCCGTCATTGTTCCAGGCAAGAGGAAGGCTAAATTCTCCGGCTCAGGATGCGACGTGATCTATCTTCTGGCAAGGCCATCGAGAAGTCGACTGGTAAATCGTGTCACAGGGTTAAACGACAACGTCCAACCAAGGCAGCCAAAAGAAAGGACCATTCGGCGTCCCAACCCACACAAGAAGCCTCTCCGCCAGCCGAAGTAGCTCTGGAACAGACAACAACTGTCATTCGCAGGCCACAGTTCCCTCAACTAAGCGTCCTTTCTTACCAAGTAGCACACGCCGATGATGGCACTCGCTTCATGCAGTCTGTTCTCACTGATATCAGGAACCACGTCTACAGCTTCTTCTCGCGAAAGCCCGAGTGGCAAAAGTCTGCTGGTACCGGCTTGATATCCGCCTATAATTATGCCTTTTATGATTCATTCCGCATCGCAATGGACAGCTTCGTCAAGAATGAGCACTTCAACGGTGGCGGGATCCTCCGCCAGGCCTTTGTTGAGGTTGAAGAAGCCTTGCAGACTGACTACTCATCAACCTTCTACTTTTTCTTCATCGACCTGCCCGACCTGTTTTTGTACTACGGAAGACACGACATCTTCGTCATTTTGCTTGCACACATCAACAGGCTGACCGCCGTCGGCCTGCGGGACAAGATCATCGGGGCGGGCTTTGCGAGCCTGCATGCCCTGGCCGAGTCGAACCCGGCTTTCTTACGTCATTACATCGGCTGCGCATCAGGTCTCTGGTGTGATCTTCTGTCCGAGCTCCTGGGTCCGAGGGACCGCAGCACTCTGCTTGCAAGGCGAAACCACATACGACACGCGCACTCTACGGACCCTCCAAGAGTCAAGGCGCTCTGCGACGACTATGACCACCTCCTGGGCGAAGTCCAAAAGCATTGGGGCGCAGGGCACACCGCTTCTAGACACCTGGAGGACGTGATCCTGCTGACACAGCTCAACTATGACTACTTCACAGACAATTTCGCGGAGAGGAACGAAAGGCTCATAGAGGACGTGGGGAGGAAGTACCAGCTCGCCGCAAGCGAAAATTCGAGCCCCATCACGCCTGTATCGATCGAGAGCACCAGCAACGCTGGCGACGGAAAGTTTGAGACGTTGCCGCTCGAGGCCTGGGACATGCTCGACCGAAACATCCGGTCCAACTGTTACCATCGATTAGCGTGCTACTTTGCTCATCAAGGGAATATGCCGAGTGCCGCTGCCTGTAATGCAAAGGCAAGGGAAGGATGGAAGACAGATTTCTGGCAGCTTGAGGTCGAAGCCGCCCTTGTCAGCGCCGGAAGGCTGTTCGAGGCCGAGACGCTTCGGCGCTGTCGGCTTGAGGCACAATACTTCGGCAAGCTGCTGGAAAATGACTGGACTGTTGCAGGTATGCCATCCTACTTGTGATTTTGTTCTCGGTTCAAAGCCCGACAGTGAATTGGTCATTCTGATGAGAGATCCTTATCTTGATCGTTCGTGTGTCATGTTTTCCTGTTTTTGTTTCTTCTTCAACTCGCTTTTTCCTATTCCATCCGTGATTGTTGGCCAGAACCGGTGTCTGACAAGTGCAAAGCTGCTGAACTAGACTACTACCTCAATATCCGACCGTCCGTCATGAGGAGGATGCCACCCACGACTGGAGGTTCCTGGGCACCAAGCTTGGGATACGGAAATATGCCTGCACTACGCGCTATCTCTGAAAGTTGAATATGAGCTAGCCGCAGCACGAAAACTCCAATCCTGAGGCTCAAGTCACCAGCCGTTGGTCGCGTAACAAAATTTATAGCTCCCGGGGCCGGTCCTTCAGTCGCAACCTAGCACCTTGATGTGCCACTAGGTGAATGCCATAACCAGTCAGGTGCTCATTAAAGCATATGGCTTAGGAGCCCGAATATTTACTAAGGTGCGGTCAAATCGCCAGGATTTAAATTGTGGGCTTTACAAACTCATGCTATAAGACACTCCCTGACACGGACTGTCCATTCTGGAACAGAAAGATCTAAGCAAACGCTCTCAAACTCTGACACACGTGGAGCAAGCAGCTCTTTCAAAGATCACCAATTCCCGAAGAGTCATAGAAACGCCTGCGAGCATACTGTGCAACCAAGTTATACCAACCGCCCATCAAACGCACATGATGGCACACAACTTCTCAAAGGGCCTTGCCTCCCTTTTCAGGGCCGGCAGCTCTTCTCTGAGGGTGCGACCATTTACCCCAACCACCACGGAACCTCAAGCTAGAAGAACGATCGACCACACCCACGGGCTCACTTCGTTCAGCAACACCGCGTATCTGACGCCCAAGAGCCACCAGTGGGAAGGAGTCCAAGTCTTGGAAGAAGACTGTCTCCGGGGAAGTTCCGTCTCAAGAACAGCGGATTCTAGTCTCATCAATCGCAGGAGGCAAAAAGGCCAGAAACCCGTCCAGTCGCGCTGCATTATTCCTTCAAGTCCAACCACTCTTTCGCCTCTCGGAAACCGGCCGCACCGGCGGAGACGGAACGCCGGCGCTATGCCGCGTTGCGGGTACGACACGACCAACATGCGCGTGGCTGCGAACCCTCGACCGGCGGCCTCTGCTGGCGGGAGTGATAAGCCGAGGAACAGCAAGCCCAGGGGCGACGGCAACAGCGATGGCGAGAGTGGTGGCGGGAGCGGAGGCAGTGGCAGAGGAGAGGGCAACGGTCGAGATGATGACGACAAGGGCTCTCAGAAGACGGAGGATCAGGAGTCGGGACGGGGAAGCAAGGATGGAGGACTGACCGCCGAGGAGCTCATCAAAACCATTGATGATGTGCGCCTCCCATTGGAAGGTCGGGGATGGACGTTCTGGCTCTGAGGCTCCTGCCGACCTCCCTTAACAGGGTGCGCTTTACCGTGGTGAGATTACTTGACTTCTCGGCTATGAATCATGAAGACCCTGACTTGCTCACGAAGCGAATGGACTAGTTTTGGTATGTCGGGCTCTCGGGGCACGATGCGCTCTGACAGTTGAGCTCCCGGTCGAGTAACAAGGCAGCAGCACAGGTGGTTGGAAGAACACTCAGAAGCGACGAGACATACCGCGCGAACGGGCGGGTAAAATGGGGCAGTGGACGCAGGCTTTGTGAAGGCGCCCTCGCGCGTAGCATACGCCAAACCATCACCACCATCCAGACCATCCTCGAATGCCATGCCCCGAGCTCGCAATCAACAAAGTTGAATGGACATACGATCAGCGGTGAAAGGGAGAAGACGTTGAGGTTTATCATCATGTCGAATGCTGGACCACTACAGAAATGGAAATGGCGAGAAAGATAGACAGTGTGTGTGTGTGAGAAAGAGAGAGATAGAGCGGACACCTCGAATGAAAACATCATCGACAAGACGCACCGAAGGCTGAGGTTCTTGCCTATATGGAGTATTCACGAGGCCCTAGTGGTCAGACCCAGTGTGTATTAATCGCGACGCTTCCTCCGTGCCCCCCCCCCAGGTCAAACTTGATTTGTCCTTCTCCGCCAAGTTGAATACTCCCTCTCATCTGTATCATTATACCACGGCGAGAGACGGCGGTCCTGGCGGCGATGTGGCTCAATGCTTTTACAGTGTGGACCCAGAAGGGTGCGAACATCTACATGTAACTGAGCACACCTTGGCACTCATCACATCGCGCACAAGGCTCTGGTTCTTTTATGTGTTCTCCGGGTTCCGTGCGGTCGGTCGTCCACGCGCCTTCGTTGAGACAGCAGCTTCCGGATCGAGTGGGAAGTCTGCCAGGTGGTTCCGAACAAACAGTAAATCACACGCCCGGCATGTACACATATGTGGGGGCGTACACCTCGCCTTGCCTCCGTGCCCTTTCTCTCGTGCGTAAGTTGAAGGCACGTTTCACACTAAGTCTCACTGACACGCTCCCGTAGCGGTCAACAATGTATGCACCCGGTGTGCACTCTCATGGCCATGTTTTAAAAAGAATGTTGTTGTGATTGATCGGAAATAAAGGAGGCGTGGGTATCCTATCCAATTTTCCCGCGTCCTAGGCCATCCCTCCGGCCAGGCGTGGACATGAAACGATATGTTGAAATAGCAAAACAGGTCAAATATTTTCCAACACCGCTGATGCCAAGCTTTTCCACTAATCAAGTAGACTGCCCCAAAGAAATATGCCCAAGCTCACAAAACGCCATCCCTTTTCGAATGCCCTAAAAGGTTCGAATGCTGTTTTCTTCGCTACCAGTTCGGGATGATTCGACATGCAATATTTTCAAGGGGAGTCCGGAACCCCCCAAAACAGTTGATTACACAAGTCTCATATGATTCGTAAAATCATCATCGGCTCTCCAGTCCACGATGACGTCGAATTCCGAGAGGATAGAGCCAGGACATAATACCAGGCCCCTTAAGACGGAAGCCTGGTCCGACAACACTGCCAACGGATGCAACTGGAAAGCCCGAGGGTATCTTCGAAGCAAATTTTCCCAACTCCACAGAGCCAGTTGAAATAGAATACATCTGGACCTTTGGCTCTGGACATTTTTTTTTTCTTTCTCTTTGTTTCGGTTTTGCTTTGTTTTTGAAGTATTTGATTTAGAGTGGTGTTGCTGCCGAGACCGAACTTTGGCCAGTGACTTTGGCGCGGCGGGTAGTTGTGAATTGAAAACACCTCGCGGCGGAGAGTGGCTCGATTTGCCACGACTTTGCAGTGCAGACCGAACGATTTTCTTGACCTTCATGATGCCAACTAGTCATTCTCAACTTCTGGCTGCGATGCGGGAATCTGAAGATACGAATCGAAGTCAAACTGATCGAAATTAGAGTTGCTGTTGAAGAAATCCGTAGTGAAGTCATCCGCATCATAGAACTGCTGGAAATTGTCCGCGCCTAAGTTGCTACCCTCGAGACCGTCAGAAAGGGTTTGTGTTACCGTATCATCCGAAAGACTTGTCTCAGGCTTGACGGCTCCAAGAGGCTGGCTCCCGGTGTAGAGATGCAATGGGTCGTTCCCGTCGAATACTTGGTCCTCTGTCGTGGTCTCATTCTTCACGAAAGATTCATCTGCTGATTTCTCGGCCTTGACATTTGGCGTTGGCTCCCCATCGCGCTTCATCACTACCTGTGACTCCTTCTTGGGCGCTGGATTCTGCTGGGTGTTCCGGCCACGGGACTGTTTCCTGGCACGTAGCTCACGTAAATCTCCGTGCTGCTGGAGTTGGAAAGGAGCCTGAGTGGCGTTTGATACGGTGGTGGGTGGAGCTTGCCCGCCGGCGAAGAATCCGGCGAAGTCGGTGTCCTGTGGGAACATGCCGCGCAGATTACCTGGTAATTCGCTAGTGAAGCCTGTCCCATACGTCGGCTGGAGCGAACCAGGCGACATGGGTATTGACTGCGATGACATTCGGCGCTGAATGTTTTGCTGGCGGGGCGTTCCCATGGGGGCTGGCATTCCTGGGGACGGCATGCCTGAAACCTGGCGGAACGCGGCCGGCACTGATGGCGTCGACGAGGGCGACTGTGTTTCCGGGAAAGCTTCTCCAAAGCTTCGGCGTTGTCCCGCCACTTGGGAGGCTTGAGGCGCGATGACGGGCGAAATACTTGAGGCTCTAGACTGAGCATTTGTGTTCACCTGCAGGGCATCCATGTGGCCCATTGACATGCTCCTTTGGTGCATAGACATTTGCATGCTGGGCGAGGGAAAGGCGCTGTTGGAGGCCATGGGATTGGCTGTGGCTGGACTTCCGACATGGCTGTCGACAGGACTGGCGAGTGCGTTCTGAGGGCTGGGGTAGTGGAATGCAGGCTGGTGGGACGGAGTCGTTGGCGAGAAGGGAGCGGTGGTCATCTGTGGCGAAGACTGGGCCTGTTGGGCGCTAGAGCCGTGCGTCTGAAAGCCTGCCGCCGGGCGGGTCGAGAAGCCACGGGGACCAAAGAACTCGGCAAACTGCGCGTTGACGTCTGCCTCTCGTTGGAGGTCCCTCTGGAGGTTGGGAAACCTGTCGTATGCTGCGGCTCGCGTGCCGAGAGTTGCAATGGCATAGGCCTGGAAGCGGGGCATGCTGGCCAGAATGTCGTTGTTGTTGAGTAGTGCCGAGTACCTGGCGGGAAGGTCGTCTTCCTCCTCGTACATTTCCTCGTTCAGGACGATCTGCTCCGAGACCTTGAGGGCCTTGCCAGTGCGCTGCTTGTGGATCTCGGAAGCAGCATAGGCGGACTGGACACGGGCTTCGAGGCTGCGGTCGCCTCTCCGTGAGGCGGCAATGTATGCCCTCTCCTTGTTCTCCGAGGCGGTTCTCTCGCTCTAGGATAAACAATCAGATGAGGAAGCCTCGAGCTGCGGGTATTAGTTCTGTACACACCTGCCTGGGGACGCCCACGTTGGGGCCGGCACTCCCGGTGGACATTCGAGAGCCTTTGGGAGGCATATTGACGTTGATAGGCAAGGAAGCTCAGCAGAGGTGGCGGGTGGAGGTGAGCAGGTTGCGGGCGGAGGCGGCGATGTGATATGTGTTGATAGAAGGAGCGAATCAACTGTTGCAGTGGTTTGGTGAGTGGTTGTGTCACCTGGTATGCATCCGAATCGTATAGGTTTGCCGTGATATATGTATATCTGGTATATGTCCGGCCTGTGTAAGATGAGAAACCTGGAGGCTCGGGTTCGAGGGAGAATTCACAGGGCAGAGGATGGTGGCGGCTGGGGGTTAAAGAGCAAGGAGGTAAGTTTGCTACCGCACCACATCTGAGTTGTGTCAGGACGCGGGCGAGCAGTAGGGACGAGGAGGAGGAGGCGATGTGAGGAGAAGGACAAGGACGGACTGGCAGTTGAGCTAGCAATCCCGCAGACCAATGCACCTCGCCAGCCCGCAAGCCCACAAGCCCGCTCTACCCACGGTCTAGGAAGGCAGCAAGGGCGCGGGGGAACTGACTCCCGTCCTCGTTGCTGCGGTTTCCCTACCAGGCCGAGCTGCCCCTGCCCCAATGGGTCCCAGTGGGCCCCACTGGCCATCCACCCGAGCGTTAGTCTTAGCGTTGCGTTGCAGGGATGCTCTTGCCCTTTTGTGCCTCGCTCTCTTGCTCCTCGGTCTTTGCTCTGGCGGCTAACTGGATCGGGAAGTGTCTCTGCCCCCAAGCCCAATCCGCCCTGCGATCTTATTGTCCATCTGCTGGGTGACCTGCGTGTGTGGATGAGAGAAGCAGGAGCCGATAAGGCATGTCTCCCACCCATGCAGTGCAGCTTCTGGCAGGCTACTGGACTAGGTATGGAAACGGTGGAAGAAACAGCAGCAGCATAGCTGCACCACTCTTGATAGCATAACGGGTGTTGGAAGCCCAGTCCAGGCCCAGGCAAGACCGGAACCTCGCAGTGACTCGACTCCAGCGTGAATTAGGACTGCCATGGCAAGTACCGTCCATCTCACGGGCTTTGACGACGCAGAGTGCTGCAGCAATGCAGCATTGCAGCACAGCGACAGTAGGGGGAAGTCGGAGCAAAAGTGTTTTCGATCTTGAGTTTTGTCGATCCCGGTCCGATACGGCGGTTGGGAGGTTGTGCAGATCGATCTCGATTTGCAGGGGCCACACGATGGGCCATAGTGGCCTGTTAGCCCGCGATTCTCGGGCCAAGTACCTGTCAGGTATTGTCGATGGAGAGCAGTACCGCACCTGCGGCTCATCCTGCTGTTCTTTCAAGTTCGACCCCATTTTGAGATCAATGTCCAAGTCCAAGCCCAAGTCCAAGCCCAAGCCCACGATCTCCTGCCTGTAAACAGGCTGGTGTGACTGTGGCGCCCTCAATGCCAGGACATGATCATGTATAGAATCAAGAGAGAGTTGAAATGTATGCGTTGGGGGAAGGGAAGTGGCTGCCACACCTGGTGATGCGGCCCCCGCTCCGCCACGACCAAGACCATCAAGGCAAGTATAAGGTTATTGCAGGTATGAATGAGTGGGACGGGGTTCGGCCCCCTCGGTGAGGAGCTTCAGCATCAGTGCTGGCGCTGGTGAAGCCGGACCTCAGGCCTGGACCCCGACTGGTGATGATCGGGGCCCGGCTTGCATTCTGTACTTGGCAGGACCGAGCCAGATCTTCAATCACCCGGGCATCATCATGATATTGGCTTGAGCGAGGCAGAGGGCTGGGCCATTGTGCACTCCGTACTGCATCGTTGTTGTCGTTGAACAAGTCCAAATGCCTTTCTGGTACTGAAAGCCGCAGGATTGGCGTTGGGCAGCGAAACCCCCGCAATGCTGGCGCTGGCTCGCTGGGAGTAAGCTTTGTTGTTGCTCTGCCGGCATGCTCTCCCTTGGCCGTACTGTGTTGAATTCATTAGCACGGGCCAGTTGGTCGACCAGTCCCAGCGCGGCGGTTCGTTGGTCGCCCTCCGTCGACTGTGGGCTTCTGGTGCTTGAGCTTATAAGCTTGTGCCTGGGCCTGAGCCTGTGCCTGTGCTCCGGGCTTTAGGCGGTAGGTTCTGGCTCTAGACTGTGCTCTGGACTGGACGCTTGAGCAGCTGTCGTCCCACCTGCGCACCTACCTAGTATTGAATTGAGCTTGTCGCCTGGATCGGGACGGTCTGACTGGCCTGGATGGTTTTGTCCGGTCACCTTTTTGTTCTGAACGAACCGCAGGATGTTTGGACAGGGTGGACGAGGAAGGCAGAGTGAAGCCGTCGTGCGCTCACTGTTGATCATCCAGGCCAAAAGCGTCAGAAGCTTAGAACGTGAAGCGGCACATCTGGACGGAACGGAGCGCCAGCGCGGGAGACGGGCTGCAACTGACGGAACAAACTGTCCGGCCAGCATGTGCGGGTGAGGTACGACGGCAGGTACTATCTGGGCAGATCTGGGGAAGGTGCACACTAACAGTGCGACAAAGGCCCAACCCTGCAACAGCACTTGGGGTCCTAGCTTGGAGGACCTACTGTGTTGTTCTCATCTCGTCTAATCCCTCATCTTGCCCTGCAGCTGTCTCCGCCTCACCTGGGCTTGGACAGCCTTCTGCCATTTGTGTCTGCGCGGGCATGGGATTCCTGCTCCGTCTCCCATCCTCCGTCGAAAGGGAGATCGCCATGGGGCATTCCTTTGGTCCCTAGACCTCCTGCCCTTTCACACCCTCCAAGCAACCGGAACAGCAGCCGCCGTACCGTCACCTTGACCTCACTGTCCCATCAGCTCCTCCACATGCATTTTCCAGATAACAGCAAACAAGACAAGCTGGCAGCCAAGCAGCGCCGCCAGCACCAGCACCAGCACCAGCACAAGCACAAGTACAACACCATCACGTCAGTTCTGCCATCACCGGCCAAGCCAGCACCGCCGTCATAGTCTCTCCCCATCTTCGCACTACTGTCATGTTCCAAACTTCAACTGCCACACAGAACATCCCGCTTGACCATCCGCCCTTGACCAGTTACTGGCATTGCCCAACACCTAGCAACACCCCCGTCTACTTCAGTGCAAGCGTCGCACTGGGGAATTGTCTGGCCCAGCTCTTGTCTACTGGTTGGCCGACGAGACAGCACGAGACAAGCAGGACGGCTGAGGTGTCACCCAGCCTTTCTTCAACCAGTACCAGGTCCCAGCAGCCCGTGCTAGGCATTCTCTGGCCACACCCACGCATGGGAATTCTCCACAATCCCATCCCAACAGACATGGCAATCTCGTCCTGTCTCAATCTCGTCGCCCACGCGCCCGGCCAATTGCCCCGTCAACAAATTCGCCACATGCCGATCCTGCTCTTTGTGTTTTCTAACCACCGCATCTTCGCCTTTCTTTGGATTACTAATGTCTCCAACGGGCCGTGGCAACTTCCTTCACTCGGTGGTCCTGAGCCGGGGACTGTACTGCCGACGTGGCTACTGACCCCGACTTTTCTCCATTATCAGCAACCCAGCAGCCGAAGTTTTACCCTCAAAATATGATCACCGGCTTATTGCTTGACGACACCCTTCTCTTTATTGCCAAATGTCAAAGCACAGCACAGCACAGCACAGCACAGCACATAGAAGATGCTAGCTAGTTCATGGCTCCGTGACGGTGGCGACTCGGCTATGAGACCACTTTGCGATTGCATTGCTCAGCAGAAAGAAAACAGCAGGGCCTATTCGGCAGAACGGAATTGTCTATTCTGTGAGTCACGAAGCGATGTTGTGCACTTTACGACATGTACCCTACGCAGTGCCAGTCTCATTCCGAATTGGAGGGGTTGGTTGTGAAATGCCTCTAACCCACCAAAAGCACGCTGCAATCTCACTGGTGGTACCGCCTCTGCTTGTGCTAGATTACATTGCATTCCAGCTCTGCAGATTCGCTGTTGATGCCATGGTCGAGCCCAGTGATACCAGCCTGTTTTGCAGGCGCCCTGGGCAAGAGCCCCAGGTTGTTTCAACAGGTTGGTTTCACAGATGGGAAAGAGCGGCCCTTGCTGATTCGACACGCGGCTTCTTCCCCAGTCTAACCAGCACTGCAACGTGAACGGCATTGGCAACGGCAGCAAGGTGCAAGGGGTCACACTGCCCCAACTACTATCTCAAGCCGTGGCCCTTGAGTGAAATAATGATGCTGCAGTGACAGACATTGGTTGGGCAAGCCTTAGCCCGCCACACCGGACTAGAGGTTCGCAATATCGCATCGCAATGCTACCAGCCATTAGGCTTAGCCCCGTGGGCCTCTGGGTTACCGCTAGTTGCTAAGGCCTAAGTCCGACTCTTTGCTTCTACATATAGAAAACAAAGGTCCCTTCGCCCGCCAAGCTTTCGATCTATCATGTGCATCCCGATCTCCTGCTCCTCCAATCGCAGTGATTCCGGCATGAGGAAGCTGCATCGCCCGGGGACCCACTGTGACCAGCGTCCCCCTGGAGCGGCACCCAGACTGGCCAGAACAGGAAGTCTGCTCGTCTGGTTCGGGTTTCGGAGGCGGGCTTGGAACTGTTCATCCATCTGTACGTGTGCAGTATCGCACGCTTCTCGCCTCCCGCCTGGCGCAGACGCGAGGTCAGGTGCCTTCGAGACAGGTTCCACGCCATTCTGCGGAGAAACAAATCCCACCCGTCTGTCACCCAAGGCATGCCAACCCATGGACGGCCCGCGGGTCTTCCAGTCGACAAGAGTACCCTGCGGGAAGCCGCCGTAACGTGCGTTCATGTAACATCCGTCCCGACCTTTCTTTTGTTCTCTCGAATCAACATGGCCCACACAGTCGGTAATGAACCCTTCATACCGGCTAAACCTGCACGCAATTGTTCCATAGAGTTCAGCTTGGGCAACATTGGCTGGACCCTGACCAGGCAACAGGCTGCGCCGGTGGAAAGTGAACCTGAAATGCGGCTGGAATTATTTGAGACGAAGGCGCACACTTGTTTTCCTTCCTTCCCCGGAAGAAGAAAATAACGTCGCATCATGCCCCCCTGCTCCTCGCCCTGAGTTTGGCTTCTTTGGCCTCTTTTGCACTGGGCCTGATTCCTGACCACGATGATCCAACACAGCATCTGTGGAAGACCCACGAATCGAAATGGCGGGTGGGTCTCCGCCGAGATCACGGAGCCGGGTGGTGCGGCGCGGCTTCGATCTCCTCTGTGCCAGCAGCTTGCCTTCAGATCGGAGAACTCGCCGACCAGCCAGCTGAACCGGTCGTCCCGACACAGCCCCACACCCGTCTTCTCACGACACTCTTCGCCTACCTACGTCACATCCTCCTACACGCGTATCTATCTTGACTATCTCTTGGCTGCAGCCCCTGCCCGAGCACTGGCGTGACCATGCCAGCCATGCAGAAGGCGCCCCCAGGATCTTCAGACTCCTATTCCTTCCGTGACCGTTTTCTAAGGGCCCCCTTTCAGCCTGATGCGCTCTTCACCACCGTTGCCAAGCTTGCCCAGCGGATATGCAGGTGCAGGCAAGTAAGCCCTGTGGGAATGAGGCTTTTCTCCTGTTCATTCTGTTCTCCGATCGTGTGGCTCCACACACCTAACGCCCGGTACATGCATGGCCTGGTAAGGCCGGCTAAACACTAGCTAGTCTCGACGGGCCCACGGGCCCCAGGAGCACGAAACTCAAGGACGGCACATACGTAGCCAAGCATGAGTTAGCACGAGCCTGATTTAATCGACAGTTGCTTGCTGCGGTTCCGATCTCCATCGTGGGGCCAAAGTGCTTCTTGCTCTGGGATCGCGACATCAAACAGGGGTTGCCTACGCCTGAGGTCGGAAGCCTTGCACGTCGATACTATCTTAGGTCCGCGTGGAGAAACCGGCGATACCGGCATCTAAATTCAGCGAGCCGCTCTCCGCGAGAGCCAGCATCATGAAGCGTGACGCCAGGGCTGGCACGTTCCAACAGGGCTCACGGTTATCGCAAGCCGTTGGCCCGTGGGAGACCGCGAGGCAAGCTGTTACTATTACCGCACGTCTGGGTCACTAACAGAGGCGTAGTAACCATGGAGAGGGCCTGCACGTCATGTAAGACCTCGAGACTCCAATCTATGGTTTGCTTACATAGGGGAGGGTGCTCGCGAGTAAGTTGAGCTGGCCCGAATACAGGAAGTGGAATGTAGCAGGCGGGTCCACGATAAAGTGTCATCAAACAGGTTTCTTGATATTTCGTGATTTTGATGCGTTGGAAAGCGCCCAGGAATAAGCACACCCATGAAGAATACCTGGCCCACGTGCGAGCCCTGGAGGTTGTTCCGTCACAAGGACTCTGTCTTTTGCCGCAACAGGGCCTGCATGAGAGCGCTGCCTCTGCTCAGTCTTCCTAGACCGGGCCCCTGTCGTAGATATCTCCATTATTCTTGCGGCAATTCCTCCAAGACAAGACCAGTGGCTGGCCCCAGGTCTTATCACAATACCGACGAAGTGGACCGACGCACATGGCCGCCAGAACAGGACAGGACAGGACAGACCCGGACAGTTTTGTTCCACCCTACCTCACCCGAGAGAACATAGTCGTTCACAAACCTCTCCCCATGTTCCTACCACACGAACGCTAGGGCTCTCCAGCATGCCTCAGTCCCGAGTGCTGGAGGCGGACGCGGCTGCACGCCGTGTGCCCCGGGGGGGAAAGGCTACGAAAACGCTTGCCGAGGACAGGGCGAGTTCATTCGTAGGCGTGTAATTGTGCTTGGCTGGGTCGGTCGAAATGTGCTTTTTTCTGCACGGGAGAGGATGCCGGACGTGCCTGTCTCGCCTGGAGTTGTAGAGCGGTAAGGAGGAAAGAAGAAAGCCTTCTCTCACACCGAGGCTGTGAGCTGCATGGAGACGAGTCGGGGGATTCCTCATCCTGTTGCCGCGGAGCCAGCATACGGATCAAGATGGACAGGACAACGTGATCCTCGCCAACGGGGACCACTGGACCGAGTTCACTTGGCAAGGCACTTGCGACGGAGCAAGATATATGATCAGCTGTACTTCAACAATGTTCAACGTCAATCATCTCTCAAACCGCTTGGATTTGCATTTCGCTACCGAGTGAGACCATGGTACAGACAGACAGAGAGTGAGAAAGAGTCGTCATCTAGGCCCAGGCATATACAGACATATAACCACCCTCTTGAGCCAACAGTCAGATACTCGCGTCCTGGCTGACTGATCTGATCCATCGTCCCATTACCCTCCCAGAAAACATTAAAGGAAACGCTATGCAATGCTTGAGTGATGCCTGTATCCCTTCCCTATCCGCTCTCCCCTGCGCTACCCCGGATCCCAGCAACAAGTATAAGAAAGATGAAAAGGCATGTCAGGGGAGAGTAGTGGGTATGGAGCAATGTGTATGAGTATAATGTATGTGAGTACGGGTACGAGTATAGTATATCCAAGAAAGGCCCCCATCCATTCCCCTCGCTAGCCCAGCCCGTGAGCGAGCTCCGGGGAAAAGCACGCGGTCGCGCGCCGGGTATATCCAAAATAGTCACTGGTTAGTTTGTATGTTTCTATACGAGGCCGCCGATTTCGGGCGGGCATGATGATGTGTGTATGCGACAATGTCCTAAAAAAGAAGACGTCGCGAGAGACGGGATCTTTTCGCCCCCACGCCCAACAGAAATGGGGGAAGTTGTTGTTGCGCAAGGGATGAAAAAGGACATGCCGCTTTGGTCGTCTGAGAAGGCCGATGCTTTTTCGTGGTTCGGAGGTGGCAGGAACGAGAACTGTGCGCGCTTATGTGGAAGGTACCGTCGCCGGATGTGGATGAGGGCAAACCGGGTGTCGACCCTCTTATTTCTCGGTCTTCCACGTCCCCTTGATTTTGGCATACAGGTCCGTGTGATGGAAATCATAGTCGTCCCTGAAGACGCAGAACGGGTGCTCCGCAAGTAGCTTGGTGGCAGTCGGGCGTTCCTCGGGATGCTGGAAAACGGCACCGCAGCGTTAGTAAGAGGAGACCGCACCCCACAGAAAAAGAAGGGACCAGTATTTCCGTGCTTAGATGAGAAGCAGGGGTGAACTTACACGGTGAAACAATCCCACATGAAGGCCAGCGCCACCGGGCTTACCGCCGCAGACACCTCCTCGGGGATGGGCGGCGTCTCTCCGTTGGCGATCTTGTATATCGCGCCGACCGCCTCGTCCTTGGACCACGGCCTGCGCCCGGCGAACATCTCGAGGACCACGCAGCCCAGCGACCAGATGTCCACCTTTGCGCTGTAGCCCTCGCCCTGGCTGCGGATCACCTCGGGCGCCATCCAGAAGACGGAGCCCTGCATCGAGTTGGTCTTGTCGTTGCCGTAGATGTTGTCCGTCTTCTTGCTGATGCCAAAGTCCGAAATCTTTGCCGTTCCGTCCACGTCCAGCAGGATGTTGTCCGCCTTGAGGTCGCGATGCAGGATGCCCTCGCGGTGCAGGTAGGCCAGGCCTGACAGCGTCTGCCGCGTAAGGCTCGCCACAACAGACTCCTCAAACTTGCCGTGCTTCCTCACGCAACTGCCCATGCTGCCACCGGGAATGTACTCGAGGAAGATGGAGATGCTAGTCTCTTTCCTCTCGCATCCGAGGTACTGCACGATGTTCACGTGATCGAGATGCTGCATCGTGTCGATCTCCTGGTCCAGCGCGGCGACGAGCTCCTTCATCTTGGCCTTGTCACCCCCTGCGGCCTTGGGGTTGACCTCGACTTCCTTCACCGCCAGGAATTCACCCGTCGTCGCGTTCATACCAAGGTAGACCCGCCCATACGTTCCCTTGCCGATGAGCTGGCCTTTGAACCACCGGAACGTCGTCTGCCGTTTGGGAATCTGGTTGTTGGCGTTGTGCGGCAGACTAGGCAGGTGGTCCTGTGGGATCTGCGGCAGGATCATCGAGCCCCGTTGCGGCCGAATCTGCACAATGTTGGCGTTGAACATCTTGGTCGACTTGCGTCGCATCAGGTTCGTGTTCTTGTTCGCAGCGGCTGACGTGCTGCTGTTAGGAGTCGGTGGCACCGGCGGCGCCATTCCGGCGCCTTGCGTGTAGCGCTTGTGAGCCACTTCTCTGATGGACTTCATCCTGCCCAAGCCCTGTGAGCGCCGCGTGCTTCTTTGTGCCGCGCTGACAAAAGACGCTGGCCGTTCTAGCGCCTTCAGGGTCGACTCATCACTACCGAGGGTGTCACTGTCGTTGTATATGGTACTGATCCTTGAAGATGTCACAGGTTTCGACTGCTGTCCCGGTTGCTCCTCCGTCTCCTCGGCTATCGGACTGGGCGGCAGATCACCTGGAAGTTCGGTGCCCTCTTCCAGCACGGGCTGGTCCACATCCAGGTTAGGGAAGAAGTGCTCGAGGTTGTTGATTAGCGCATCGGTAGGTGGACGGTTAGCCCAAATCGAGGTGTCCTTCTCCATGAAACTCTTGCGTCTGCTAAGCTTCACGTCATTGTCGTTGGAGTCCCATCCCTCGGAGTGGGGCGTATTCGGTGTTCTCTTGGAGCCCTTGGACGAGTGGTCATCGTCCGGAGTTTTGCCTCCAGACGAGGGCAGATTGGGATCCGTAAATGATACCGACAGGCCCTTCTTGCCACGCTTGGTATTCACAGTCAAGCTTGGGCGCTTGCTGAGACTGCTGGCTCCATGAGCGGCCTCTTCCTCATCGCCGTCGCTGTCCTCGTCGTTCCAGAAGGTCCCGTCCTTGCTCACAGGCGACGCTTTCGCCACGGGTTGGCTGATTAGCTCCTTACCCTTGCTGGTGGTGCTGGGGACACCACGACCGGCCAGGGGTTTCGCAAAGAGTCCGTCGTCTGAATCGTCTGAGTCGTCGCCATCATTTTCCTCGTCTGAAGAGGAGTCCCCGTCAAAGATCCTGGGCTTGACGACCACCTTGGGCAGCTGTGGCGGCTTGTCCGATACGGTCCTTGCTGTCGGGCTGACCTCGCCTGCGGGGGGCGGTCTTCGAGACTTGGCGTCTTCTCCTGTTTGTCGTTGTTTAGCTTCAATGTCAATCCTGAGCGGATACCTAGCAGATCTGGTGCTGTTCCTCGTCCCGTTCCGTCTTCCAAGGGGTGAGTATGTTCTGGGCAACCGGGTTCCGCCAGGTGAGTAGTCGGGCACATCAAACGCCACACCTCCCGGGCTCATGGTCGAAGAGCCGGGGATGGGTGGCGTTCGCGGTCGCGGACCACCGTCATCTCCACGTAATGAAATGCTCGATTGAGCATCCTTACCTGCTTCTTCCCCTGATCCAGTTCCTGCGAACTCGTTGTCGCCTTCTGCTTCCGCCCTGTTTGGTGAGTTACCCCTTCCTCCGGCACCTCCAGGGTGTGCGATACCGCCCAGGCCGCGGCCGATGCCAGCCAGCGCAGCACCGATGCCGCCAAGGGCCTGGCGCTCATTGTTTGGTCTTCTCTTCTCGGCCATCTGCTTTGGGCTCTCGGATATTCCGGTGCTCTGCCGCTTAGTGGGGAACCCATCCATGCTTCCTTGGCTCGTCCGTTGGTGCGAGCCACGTTTCGAGAGCGAGTTTGCCTTGATGAGGGTCGCTGACGGATCGAGAGGCGCCGCAGGGGCACGTCTTTGCGGTGCAAAGGCGCCATCGAATGGCTTCTTGTCCTCGAATGGCGAGTTGCGTGGCTCGTCAAAGTTAACAACACGGCCCACGATACCACTGTACGTACTTGTGCCATTATCTGAGGGTGAGTTGCCGCTCTCTTTCGCCGCCTTGCGCTTGGCGAGATACTCCTGCTGCTTCCTGATCATCTCAGCCTTGTATGCCTCTGCTTGCTGCGTGAGGTTGCCGTCGTCGCTCTTGTTGTCATTGGCACCGTCATTCTCCCCGGTCGCCGAATTCTTGTCTTTCTCGCCTCCGGTGAGGGTGTTCTGCCTGGATGCCGGCGGGGATGAGCTGGATCTCCTGCGCTGCCCGTTCAGCCGCGCATACGTGTCCTCGTCCATCTTCGCGCCCGCAGGTAGGTAGGCTGGCGAGAGTGCATTCTGTGATTGGCCGATGTTTACTCCCAAGCCGCCCATGTTTCCAGGCCGAACGAATATCTTCAGAGACCCGGCTGCGTCCGCCCTTGATTTCTTCTTGGCGACAAGTCTGTTGTCGTCCAGCGCATCATCGTGGTCAAACTTGCCGAGTTCCGTGAGATATAGTTCCGCACCATCCGCATCTGGTAGGCCGAGATTAACGCATATTAGTGTTCTAAGGTCTGAAGCGGATTCCATGTCCGACACGTCCACCATGCGGTAGTTCCAGTAGTCCAATGTTGCGAGAATAAATATCCTGCCCCTAGTGATGCGCCTCGACCTCATCGACGATGCCGGTCTCTGCTGTTCTGTGGAGAAGCTCGACCCCGGCCTGTCAAGCGACGTCTCACTGGCATTCCCTCTGCTCCCCAGCGAGTGCGCCTTGAGCTGCATTGGGCTCGTAGGCGACTCGGGATCATCGTGATGCTTCTTCTTGCGCGGGTTGAGGAACGACAGGAACGACTTGGTCTCCCTGGCGGACCCCGGCGGCTCGCTCGCGCCAGCGGATCGGTCGCCGGTCGATGAGTTGTCGCCGAGCGGGCTGGGCCGGTTGCCGCCGTCGTGGCCGTATCGACGCGTGTCCTTGGCCATTTCGGCGACGTTCATCTGAGACCGCAGAGCCTGGCTCGCTTCGGGCGGCACACCAGACCCATATATAGCTGCGTTTGACGAAACCGAGTCAGTGGAGTTTCGGTTCCGGTGGCCCCCAAATCTCCCGCCGGGTGAGGAAGCGAGATTGGGCGCTGTAGAAGACGAGAAGAGGCCTTGGTTTGGTGCCGGGCTCGCCGCGGGGCTGTAGCCTCGGTTGCTGCTGCGTTCGTTATTGTTGCTGTTGCTGTTGCTGTTGCTGCTGTTGTTGTTATTGTTGGTCGTTCCTACCTCTCCGGACTCGCTAGCGACCGGGCTGTGGCGGCGGGAGCCTTCATCGTCGATGTTACCTAAGTGTATTCTCCTGTGGTTGCCTCCGGGGTCTGAAGAAGTGACTGAGTTACTAAAACCGTTCCAAAGAATGGGCATGGTCTGCGTCCGTATCTGTGATGATGACCTACGTCCAACTGAGAATCCAGGGCCTGGGGCCTTGATAGGAGTGTCCGGGGAGCCGCTGTCCGGGCCTGCACTGGTGGGTACCAGGGAGGTATTGCTCGTTGAGTCTTTCCTCCCATGGGATGACACCCCCGTCGCCGTGGGTGTCTCGCCCCTTACAATGCTGCGGATTAGCCGGCGCATCCTCTTTCCCTCCTCTCTTTCGCGCGACTGGTCCCAGCCGGTCCCGCTGCTAGTGCACTCTGTTGCTAGTCGTGGGTACACCTGCTGATGCATCATGCCGAAGTTACCACGCCCACCATGGCCACTCCCAAGCTCGAGAAACCTGGACCCGTGCAGGTCCAAGGCGCGGAAAGTCGAGAGCCAGTCCTTGCTGAAGTTATTTGCTTGGAGCCATGATAGCACGCGCTCCAAGGGCCACTGCGAGGCGAGCTCGGGCGGGATGCCCGATGCACCGCCAGCCGTGGTCGCGTTCGAGGTCGTCGAATTGCCCCTGTTGTGGTTTCCGTAGGTGTCAACAGGGGTGGAAATGGTCGTGTCGCTGTTTGCTGTTCCCAGACTGCCTAAACTACCCAGCCACGAGCTTTGAGACGTAGCGGACCACGTCGACATGTCATCCATGCCCAGGCCAGGAATACCAACCCCCTCCCCGTACGTGTCACCCTGCGGGATGTAAGTAGCCGACATCTGCATGTTTTCGTTGGGAGGTGGGGGCGGAGGTATGGCGATCTGCTGCCCGTTGACAGTCTTGTACGGCTGCGGGTTATACGGGCGAGGCGCTTGCTGAGGCGGAGGCGGGGGGATGTAGGATCCGTAGGCATTATTCCAGGTGCCTTGCCATTGCGTTGTGTTTCCGGGAGGCGGGCCCGGGGGAGGAGGAAGCCCGCTGGGGGGTGGCCCGCCTGGTGGCCCTGGTAATGACATTGCGCCGGCTGGCGCGCTGGGGTAGCGAGGAGGTGGAGGGGGGATGTTGGTCATGATGTTGTTCATCGTCCCTATTGCTGCGGGCGGCGACATGGGAGGAGGCGGGGGCGGAACCTGGAAGGGCCTCGAGGGGTCGACCCCGGACCCCTGGCGCTGCCCGTACATGCTGCTGATGTTGTTTGCGCTCGCGGACGAGTTCAGCAACGGGGCCGGAGCGGTCTGGGATCTCGGCTGAGGAGGCGACAGGGGCGGAGGAGGGCTCGTGGCCTGGCGTGTCGGAGGCGGCGGCGGCTGGGCAGGCGGAGACGGAACGGCAGCGGGCACGGGTGTGCGGCGGGCGGGGGGTGGTCGTGTGGAGGGAGGGAATGCTACGAGGCCGCGGCTCGTAGATTTGCTCGGAGAATCGGCGGGGGAGTCGGGGGGCGGTGCAGGCGAGAGTGGGCCGCTGGCGGTGTTTGCCCTTCTCCTCTGGCCGGCGGGCGATGGGGCGGAGAGGTACTGTGAGGTGGGCGAGGGGGCCGAGGTGTTGTTGATGGAGGGATAGGGAGAGCCGGCGCCTAGGCTGGAGAGGAGGGAGCTGCTGGAGCCGAGGGTGGGGATGTCGTCGAAGAGCACGCCGTCGAGCTTGGCGATGTCCTCGGTACCTTTGCGGTCCAGCAGGAACGTCGGCCGGGAGAGCTTTGTGGAGGTGGCATCTAGAGACAAAGGCGAGTGAGGGAGGCCCGCGAGGGGGGATCTGGAGTTGTAGGGGCTCAGCAGCCCAAGGCCGCCGTTCGCGTGTTCTCTGTCGCGATCGGCCTGTCGTGAGGAGAGACTCGAAATGGAGCGTTGGCGCTGTATGCTCCTGCTCATTTGAGCGAGGGGGCGGTTTCTTTGTGCGCGGCAAGGTCAGAGGGCATTCTCATTCTCAATCTCAATTCTCAATTCTCAATTCTCAATTCTCAATTCTTGCACGGGAGATGGCGCATCCGGTTGCTGGGCAGAGAGGCCGGCGAGCCGGCGCGACGGAGGCGAAGCAGGCTGGTTCTGGAGCCCAGGGGGGCCAGGAACGAATCAAAGATGGGGCGCAGTGGTGCTGGGCTGCCGTGCTGCCGTCGTGCCTGATATTGCTGGGGTTGTGGGTGCTGGGTGATGGGCGCTGGTGGAGATGGGATAGCAGTATCTGAGGTAGTCTACTGCACGACAATGGATCGCAAAAAGAGCGTGGAACTGAAACCTTGGGCGATCGACAGCAGAGCCCGAGGCAAGTTCCGCCCGTGGGGATTTTTGGGAAGGGGAGGGGGGTTGGAGGGGGGAGGTCTCAAAATTGGTGCCAGGCTGCCCAACCCATCCAAGCCCAGTCCAGTCTCCAGAGAACAGCAGCAGCGCACGCACGCACGCTCACAACAGGCACGCACACGCAATAGGCACAACCCACTCGTGTTGTGTCAATGTCATGTCGTTCGTGTCGAGTCAATTGGCAGGGAGGACGAGAACAGAACAGTACGGATGCCCGCGTTACTCACAGCTAATACGAATTATTGAATGCCAAGCGTGTGGCACGGAAGGAACAGAGTGGAGACGACGAGGTCCCCTCTCTCTGTGTGTGCGCCCTCCCTCTCCCTGTGCGTGGGTGTATCTCTGTTCTCTCTGTGTCCGTATCTGTGTCTGCGTCTGTGTTCCTCCACGTGCTTATCGTGACGAGAAGATCGATCCGAGCACGGGCACGGGCGGGCGGGCTGGGCGGCCTAAGAGGGAGCTGCAGCCGGATGCTGGGAGCTGGATGCTGGACCGGACACAACACAACGCACACAGACAGGCACGCGCGCGCGCACACACACACACAAACTTGCGCAGGCCTGCTTCCTGTTCCTGGTACTCTGTCGGGATGGGCGGGTTGAGGCCCCCAGGCGATGCGGAGGGGATTGGCGGAGGAGCGAGTCGAGACTCGACTAGGCTGCGGCGGCGTGGAGTTCTTCGCCTGCTTCTAGTTTCGCTAGCTCTGCGGCTTGTAGCTTGTATCTAGCTCGTAGCTCTGCTGGCTTGGCCCTGCTGCTTAGCGGCTGGCGTCTGCGGCTGGGCGTCTTGCGTCTGGCGTCTGGCGGGCGACTGGTTGCTGGGGCGAAATGAGAATGGGGGCAATTAAGAAGGCAAAAAGGACTCGAAGGATGGATGGATCAAGGACTTAGGGGGAGACACGGCTGCATCTGCAGCCCAACTCTCGCGCCGGGAAGAGGAGCTGGGCGGGATATGGCGGATGCCTTGCATCTACCAGAGGGAAAAGGCGTGCGGTATGCGTACGGTATGCGCCATCAATCTTGCCAGACCACCAGCTCGGTCCAATCGACTCGTTTCTCGGCCTTGTCAGGTCACGTCGCACCGCAGTAGCTCGACGAAAGTGCTGCTCCAACCGTCTGACTGTAGACTGTAGACTGTAGACTGTAGACTGTAGACTGTAGACTGTAGACTGTAGACTGTAGACCGTGGCCTGTAAGGGGGGTGGGGTGGATTGGAGGGAGGAGAGGGTACTGCAGATCTGCAGACAATCAAACGCCGGAGAGCTGCTGTAGGGCATACAGAGAGAAAACTAGATAAACAAACTTTCAACAACACAACGATTGCTGTCACGGGGGATTGGGGAAGTAGGGAAAGACCAAATATGGCCTGACATGACACGCAGACAAATACAATCAGTCCCTCAATCAAATCAATCACAACTCGTCAGGCCAAGTCTTGTTCAATCGGGATACCTCCCCCCTCCCTGCCTCCCTCCTTCCCTACTCATTCATGCCCCAACCTGGCAACCACGATCGACAAGCTGTCACCCAGGGCAGCTAGGCTGCTAGGGTGCACATTGCAGGGTCGCCGCAACAGGGATGCCCTCCCGTGGAGCCCCCAGCAGCTGGCGCAAGATACACTCTGCAGATCCATCCCATCGTTCACGATTCGCAAGCTCCGTGTTTCTCGTCCCTCACGTGTGACACGGCGAACCACGGGACAAAACACGTTGCTGGGAGGGAATAGCTTGTTTTCCTCTCACATTTCTTTCCTGTCCGAATATCCGTTACGTAGATGCTCGATTTCAGTTGTGTTTGATTGAAGTTGTCGCGTGCCGAGGACATCCGACTTACCTATAGTACTATTATACTTGTAGTGTATTACTCGGTCACTCAATCAGTCAATCGTTCAAGGCAAGGCCGGCAACGTCACCACCTGTCAACTCTATAATTACCATCCCGGCTCTCTTAAACGATGCAACCTACCAACGCGGTATTTGGCTTATCCAGGAAATACCATAGAGCCCTGTTCCTTGGCCTCGCCACTTCCATGCCTTATGGCCCGCATCGCATACATGAAAACACACACATAGATTCCACACCACACCACAACCGGGCACACACATCTATCAGATCAATCATCACTCACAGTATCGGGCCCAAATGGGACGTCATCCCTTCCCCGAAACAGAAACAGCATGCATTGTGTGTGTGTGTGTGTGTGTGTGTGTGTGTGAGATGCGACGCAGGGCTGGGTCCCCACAAGGCTCGCGCGTCACGAAGCCAGGGGGGTGGGGGGGGGATGTGTTTGGGATCAACTTGCTCTGAGCTGATGATAGATCCGTATCTGATCGCCTGCGCCTTGCGGAAACAGCCTGGTAACCTATGTATCGGGACTTGTCGTTCGTGGTCGGGACTTTGTTTTGCCCGTACAGGGACGGAAATACGGGACCTCATTTTGCTGCATAATGGAGCACGTTGTCGGCGGCGGCTGGTCAGGGCCTCCGGGATTCTCAATGGCTTCGGGGTGGCCGCGCGAGCACGATCCCCTTGTAATGCACGATTCCTGTCCATGTTCGAAACCCAATACTTGGACGAACACTGCTGCAGGAAACATTGATCAGGTCAGAATACTGTCCACATTGTCCGTATTATACCTATTCTGCTCGCCCAAACAAGCCACCCCAAAATCGCTGCTGCATTCTCATCAATTTGTTATATACGAATTGGCCAATAACAATAGCCATGCTTTGCCCGCTGAGTATGTACGCTCCTGGCAACCCCCTCGGAAAACATGTCCACCGAACCTCCGACTCAGCCCCGAAAATCATTCAAATTACATTACCACACAGCCGTTTCCCAGCCAATTGTTGACCATGTCGTAATAACCCGGCTCCTCGCCGAACGCAGCCTCCTTGCCATCCCCGGCATTATACCTCCGGGCCTGGCCCACGATCTTGATGTCCTGCTCGCCCTTGCCGTGCCACCACCGCAGCCGCTGGATGCCGTCCTCACCCTGGCCAATCTCCCACTTGCCCCCGGACACTTGCACAACTGAGCCCTCGCGCGGGAAGTGGGACTCTGGCAGGAATACCACCGTAGGCGCATCCTGGCCCGGCTCGTTCGCGGTGCGCAGTTTCAAGACGAAGGTACAGCTTGTCAGGTCGAACGTGTAGTGCGTGATGTCCCCGTTCACGGCCACCGGTGCCGGCCGAACGTACGCTTCCGCGGCGCGATAGCCAGGAGTTGCTTTTAGTGATGGGTCAGTGGTATTCATGCGCTGGGAGGGACTGCCACCGTTGGCGATGTGGCTCGAAGTGGGGGATGCCGAGGGAGCGTCGTTGGTCAGTGTTTTCTTGAGGTTGCTTGGCGTCACCGCCACGTCCTCGGAGAGCCGGGAAGTGGACGACGTCGAAGACTCGACCTTGGGAGGTGGTACAGCTGAGATGGCTAGAGGTTTGTCGTCGAGGGAGTAGATCGACAGGTCCTCTCCGTTCCACTGATCGCCCCATTGGTGGACATTCTGTATTTCAAGGTCAGTATCCTTTGCTTTCATCTTGGGGCTTGCCGTAAGAAAAGGATGTGCTCACGTTAGTGCAGTAGACCCATAGTGAGTAGCCCTCCATCCGACTGCCCTCTACAGCAAAGTGGTTCGCGTCCATCGCTGCACTCTGGCTGGAGTAATCTCCTGTCTTATAGGCGTATTTGTCGTCCATGTCATATGGAATGCCAAATTCTGTCAAGACACAGGGGTGGTTACCCATATAGTCTAAGCCTTCTTTTCTCATTGCAGCCAGTTGGTCTCTGAAGCAGTTGCGGATAGCAGTCTCGCCGATTTTGATGCCGAATGCAGGTGTGAGGTATCTTCCCCGGAGTATACCCAGCACATCCACATTCCAGGTCCGGTTCCATTTCTTGGTCATAAGAGTTATGCCGTCGTAATAGTGTGGTGCGTACACCATGTTTGGGTCGTCGTCCACGGTCCCCTTGATACTGGGCGGCAGCTCCAGCACTGGTGGCTGGCACAGCATAATCGCCTCAGGGTGATGTGAGCGGACCATATCCCGATACTTCCTGTAGAACTCCATGAACCAGTTGTTGGTGAAATAGGGGTAATTCGCCACCGCCCCGTTCTTAGGATCATTCGCAAAGTAGTCCTTGCGTAGCAGCGTGTCGGAGCTGGGATCCCAAACCCCATGCTGCGCCCAGATACACTCTCCCAGCTTCCACCCAGGATCGCGCTTCCAACCGTAACGAGAATCATCATAGTCAGCGGGCAGCCAAGCGATCTCGCCACGAGGGTCGATCAGCGTCCTGCCGACCTTGTAAGGCCCTAGCCCACCCATGTCCCACGTGTCAACCTCACAGGCGCGCCCGGACCCGGTAAGAATGGCCTGCCAGATGGTCGGGCACGTGCCCTTCTTGAGTGCCTGCTCTTTGGGGATGACGCTCATGTCTTCAAGCCCGATCAAGCCTCGTGCCGGCTCGTTCATGCTCTCCCACCCAAAGACAATTTCATTAAGCACATCGCCGGCACCTTTTATCCTCTTTGCCAGGTGCTCCAGGGCGCTGAAGAAATGACCTTGTAAATAGTCTTGAACATTTATGCCGTCCACGATACACATGGGTGCAAAGTCCCTTCCCGCAAAGAACAGGGTGAACATGGTCGCAGCGGCAAGGCGGTTGTAGTTGGTAGACCAAATCATCTTGGGGAAACTCTCGGGCGTAGGGTAGGTGTTGTGGACGATGGCTGCTTCGGTAGCGGCGAAGGATTGCGGGTTCAGGCCAGCGAGGTAGAGTGTCCACATCGGGGCGCCAGAGCCGCCAGAAAACCGTGACCACTACGCAGAGTATCAAATTAGCTTATGAATCAAGTTTGCACTGCGAGAGCGAAGGCCGAACATACCACATCCTGGTGGGGGTCCATATACACAAAGAAGCCATAGTCCTTCGCTGTTCTCAACACCTCGATTGTATGGCTTATCCACTCCTCGTCGTATATCCCAGGGCCCCTGGCCTCGATAGCCTCCCATGTGAAGATATATCGTATGGTGTTGTACCCAAAACGTCTCAGCCTCGCAAAGTGGACGTGAGCATCCTCCTTTGTGAAGGGCCTCTTGTGGAAGCTAACGTTGTCTCCGTCGAAGAAGTCGTCCGTGACCTGGGAGGGCTGGTCAAAGGGCTCGCTGGGGTATTTGGCGTCCCCGGCGACGTTGATGCCACGGAGAATGACTTGTCGGCCGGAGGCATCGACAAACTTGCCCTGCTCAATGAGAAGACGGAGTGGAGCCATGGTGGTAGGACACGGGTACGGGGTTGGTGAATCAACGCAAGCCGTCGCTCCTCAGCACCGAGCGATAGGAGCTGCGGAGGTCATGCAGGAACCGACAACGGCCAGATCTGCAGAGAACACAGCCTCGGACTCGGACTCGGACTCGATCGCTTTAAGCAGTGATTGGGCTTGAATTGATGTAGATAGTCGATGGAGCAGAGTTGATGGAATGTAAGGGCACCCGGCAGTCAGTCAGTCAATGCTGCAGTACAAGCAACGGGCTCTCGGCCGACTCAAGCTCCGGATGTCGATGACGTTGTTTGGGGAGAGGATCAGGACGCTCGAGGTCGGGACGAGCTTCCTAGTCACAGAGCGGACGCCTCGCAATTGAACAAGGGTATATCTCTTCAGCTGTGCGCCTCGATGGGAAATCGTCCGACGGAAAGGTGCTTTTCATTCATCCTTTGAGCCACAGCAATCGCCATTCATTAATCTAGCAATGGATCTTCTGACAGCTGGAGCACGACGACATTCCGCCGCATGTGACGTCGCTGCCCGAAGATTTGCCGGCTCGACAATGCAACGTCCTCCAGGCCCCGAGCCCCGCTTCCACCGCCAACGACTAACGTGCCTGGTACCTGCCCCAGGCTGCTAGGTCCCTAGGTCTAGGTGGTAAACCGCGCTAGGCTATCATTTATATCTACTGTGGAGGCAATGGCGACCACTACGCGTTACAAGGTCGCGTTACACCGTTGCACCATTCAGGCACTCAACGCGTCCAGACGCGTCTCACCAGTGACTTTTCTTCCTCACATTACAACCACCGCACGACTTCGGACACGATTATAGGCGTCCAGCCACTTCATCGTCGTGTTACTTGTGTACATCCCTAGTTTTGAACACGTTCCGCTGTAATCATGCCTCATTCCACGTCTCCTGCATCCACTCCTCCTGTTCCCACACCAACGAGTGAGGACGAGCTCGAGCAAATGGAACAGGACTCTCCGGCCAAGAATGAGACCACCACCGAGATCACGATGGCTGAGGTGAATGCCCTGTGCCTAGAGGAGGAGCCAAAGAAGGAGGTTAAGCTAGACGACCTGTTCGCAGATGTCGACTCGGACGACGACGAATTCCCAAGTACAGGCAGGACGACTCAGAGCCAGGTGCTGCCCACAAGCTCTCCCGGCCCAGAGTCGTCTGAAACACCGGAGTCAGTAATATTGTATCCACGCAGCCCTCTCCATGGCTAAGGCTGACACAGCTCACTCAGTGATGGCGCCCCGATCAAAGACAGCGCAAGTGACCCCGAGGTCATGCGCAGCTTCTACCAACGTCTCTTCCCATGGCGACATCTGTTTCAATGGCTGAACCATAGCCCCACACCAACCAACGACTTTGGCCACCGAGAATTTGCCTTCACGTTACAGAACGATGCCTACTTGCGATATCAGTCCTTCCAGACGGCAGATCTGTACGCGTTCCATGTCCAAACATGTTGATGATACGACGCACACTGACCCCGTCACAGCATCCGCAAAGACGTCTTGCGCCTCCTGCCCTCTCGTTTCGAAATCGGCCCCGTCTACACCACCAACCCACGCGACCGGAAACAGCTCAAGAACCTGTCCGCCTTCCGGCCCCTGGCCAAAGAGCTCTGCTTCGATATCGATCTAACAGATTACGACGACATCCGGACATGCTGCGACAAGGCAAACATCTGCATCAAGTGTTGGCAATTCATCACTATGGCCATCCAAGTGGTAGACAAGGCGTTGCGTGATGATTTCGGCTTCAAGCACATTATGTGGGTTTACTCGGGTCGACGTGGTGCCCACGCCTGGGTCTGCGATAAGAAGGCGCGGACTATGGAGGACCAGAAGAGGAGGGCCGTGGCAGGATATTTGGAGGTTCTCAAAGGTGGTGCACAAAGTGGGAAGAAAGTAAACGTCAGGAGACCATTGCACCCACATTTGACGTAAGTCTTATTCTGCGCAACATGACTTACAGCCAAACAAACTGACATTGATCGCAGACGGAGCCTGGACATTCTGGCCCCGCACTTTGCAGAGGATGTTCTTGAGAAGCAAGACCCCTGGGACACCGACGATCGGGCAGAAAAGCTTCTGCAACTGTTGCCGGACAAAACCCTCAATGACTCCCTGCGGAAGAAGTGGGCTTCTGCGCCAGGGCGGTCTTCGACGTCTAAGTGGGCCGACATTGATGCCATCACCAAGGCTGGCGGTGCAGGCAAGAACCTCGACACAAAAGATCTCCTGGCGGCGAAACAGGACATCGTGCTGGAATACACGTATCCCAGACTCGATATCGAGGTCAGCAAGAAGCTAAACCATTTGCTCAAATCTCCATTCGTTGTACACCCCGGCACTGGAAGGGTTTGTGTGCCCATTGATACGCGACCGGGCAAGCTGGAGGAGTTTGACCCTACAGCTGTACCGACAGTGCAAAATCTCCTGGGAGAAATCGACGCGTGGACGGAGGAAGAGGGCACGGGAGACGCCAAGACCAGCATTCAAGACTGGGAGAAGACCAGCCTGAAGCCGTATATCGAGCAGTTCAGGACCTTTGTCAGCGCATTGTTGAAGGATGAGAGAGGGGACGTCAAGGTGAAGAGGGAGCGGGAAGAGCCCGAGTCGATGGAGTTCTGATCTCTCTCTGTTGACATTGAAGTGTGTAATGACGTTAGGCGAGGCCAGGCGACTGCGCGACAACCATTGGCCCTGCGCAGCCACAATGCCACAATGGGCGGCATTGTATGGGGGAGGGAACACTATGGGCTGGCGTTCGGTATAATTCTGGTTTCTATGTGGTCATATTTTCCGTCCATCCGTCCTAGCCCAAGGCTGGGCGAGATCAACAGTGTTTGCGCCGGCGTGACGGGCGCGATGTTTATTGGTGCGCATCTTCCGCGCTGGCCACCGCGCCGGCATCCCCAGAGTTTCCCCAGACCGTCACTGGCTGTGACCCCTGAATCCCTGCCCATGCCCACCTCGGATGCTACCTTCTCCAACGCCCACCAAGCCTCTCCAACTCGCGCCGCCCGCATTTCTCCCATCAGCGAGAAACGCCTCGGCACTCTAGCTACGGGAACTCACGCTATAGTGCGCGAAGAGTCATTGACGACCCTGTTTTGCGCCCGGGCGAGGGAGCTCAATGCGACCAGGCATCCACTGCGCGAGATACACCGAGGTCTGATCATGCGGGCACCCTGTCCCAGTAAGGAACGTGGGCTCCGACAGGCATGCATGATGCCATCATGGGCAAAGGCGGGTTCTTGTAGAATAGGCGCCGTGCGACACTCCATCTATATAAGCATGAGAGGTTCGCGCGCCGACGAAGATGCAAGTCCTGGATCTGGTAAGAAGGTTGCATTTGCAGTTTTCTCCTCCTGACGATCCTGTCTTTATTTTTGTCCAGAGGTAGCAACCCGTACTACCCTGCATATTTCGTCAAGATGGCATCCCTAAAGCCCATCGTCTTCCTCTTGTCCCTCCTCTCCCTCGCCCAGGCAAGCCCCCTGCACCACCCCCGGGATGAGGTCACGACGTTCGACAACAACGTGATCTTCGTGCCGCCCTCGGACTACACCGACCCTCGGGTCCTGTACCCGCGCACCACGGAGCTCACGCTCAACGACAATGTGCTCCTCGCGACGTGGGAGAACTACTCGCCCGAGCCGCCGCTGGTCTACTTCCCCATCTACAAGTCGGTCGACCACGGCGTGACGTGGGAGTACATCTCGAACGTGACCGACGACGTCAACGGGTGGGGCCTGAGGTATCAGCCCTTCATCTACGAGCTGCCCGTTGACTTTGGCGGGTACAAGGCCGGCACGGTCCTGGTAGCGGGTAACAGTATCCCTACCGACCTGAGCGAGACCAAGATTGATGTGTACGCGAGCACGGATGCTGGGTACACTTGGGAGTTCGTGAGCAGTGTTGCAAGAGGAGGCGAGGCGCTGCCGAACAACGGGCTGACGCCTATCTGGGAGCCATATATCGAGTAAGTTTAAATCTCCTTCACCCATGGGCTCATCCCGACTGGACGTCTTGGCTAACAGCGATCAACAGGATCTACGAGGACCAGCTCGTCCTGTACTACTCGGACCAGCGCGACCCAGACCACGGCCAGAAGCTTATTCACCAGACGACGACCGACCTGCTCACCTGGGCCGACCCCGTCGACGACGTCGCCTACGATGAGTACACGGACCGCCCCGGCATGACCACCATTGCCCAGCTGCCGACCGGCGACTACATCATGACCTACGAGTGGGGCCACAACTTCTCCGGCAGCTACTCCTTCCCGGTGACGTACCGCATCAACGCGAACCCGCTCGACTTCGACAACAGCGAGCCGGTGGGCATCGTGGCCGCCAACACGGGCACCACCCCTACCGGCTCCCCCTACGTCGTCTGGAGCAGTCGGCGGCGAGAACGGCACCATCATTGTCAGCTGCGGCAACCTCGGCTCCGTCTTCACCAACCAGGCCCTCGGCGCCGCCGACCAGTGGTTCGAGCGCGAGACCCCGCAGCCCGCCGCGTACACGCGCCACCTGCGCGTCTTCGCCGAGGACCCGGACAAGCTGCTTATCAATGGCGCAGGGAAGCTGCCGCCGTCGACCACCAACGAGGTGTCGCTGTCGGTGGTCTCTATCGAGGGGCTGCTCTCGTCGTGAGGGAAGGAAAGAGAAAGGAAAATGGGAAGAGTTGGTAGCTCACTTGTTAATATGACTGTAAATACGACTCCAAGTGCACCATGGTAATTTGTCTGCTGAAACCTTTTTTTGGTATGTGTGCAATCGCTTGAACACCACGGCCTCTTCATGTGTGACCGAAATTTTGGTCCAGTCTGGACTGTGGGATGACCACAAGTTGCGCGTGAAAACTAGCGTACTATGCCACAGCCTCACTCGGTCCCTCTTCTTGCTTGTCGCCTTGCTGGTCCTGCTTCTGGCCCAGGTCATCCTGGTTGTCACTTTGCTCAGCCTCAGCCTCAGCATCCTTGCCATTTTCCTCATCACCCTCTCCCTCCCCGTCCACACCCTTCAGCTTGCCCCCTTTTCGTTTTGGAATGACCTCCTCGAACGCCTTGCCCCAGTCACCCGTCTCGAGCCACTTGGACATGATCTCGACCACGTGGTTCGTCGCCAGGACCTGCCGGCTCGCCATCTGCATGTAATCGCCAATCGGCAGCTTGGCCGTCCGGATGCCCTTGGCCTCGGCGCGCTTCTGGCACAGGAGCTTCTCCCTGTTCCGGTCGACGAGCCCGCCGATCACGTAGCTTGTGTACGGCTCGAGTTTCTCGAGGACGTTGGGGGAGTCGGCGGAGAGGTAGACGATGGACTCGGTTGCGAACTCCGGGGCCGGCGCGGTCGCGGCCTCTTTCTTCGTTGATGTTTCATCTTTTGGAGCATCTTCTCCCTCTTCCGTGGGCTTGTCGCTGGGCATTTCCTCCGATTTTTGTTGCTCGCCGCCCAACGCGGGACAAGATCCGCCGCCCCTGGGGCCATGCATGATCTCCCACGCGGTCTTGCCCGCCTCCACAAAGTCATAGTCGAGGAATCGCACGCCCTTGTAGTTGAGATGCGTATTTTGCAACACCGTAGCGAACCTCTCCTTCAGATAGCCGCCCCAGGAGCTGACCAGTATGTGCGCCTGGTACTGTCCCGCTCTGTTCATGGCGTAGCTCCTCGTGATCTGAGCTCCTAATGACACGAGCTCGGGCTCGCGCATGTACTTCTCGAAGTCGCAGTCGAGGATGAAGGCGACTGGCACGACGACCTTTGGCTTGGGCTCCTTCTGCTCGGCCGCCAGGATCTGCTTCAGGGCCTCGCTCTTCTCGATGCCCTGTTCCTCTGCGATCTTGGCAGCCCTCTCGTCGCGCTCGAGTCGTCTCCTTGCCGACTTCTCGTGCCGTTTGTCCTTTCGGATTGCCTTGCGGTCTTCCCTTTTTTGCTCCCAGAGTTTTTGGCGCTTCAATTTCTTCAATTGGTTTTTTGAGATCTTGGGCTGGTCTGCTGCACCGTCTGCTGGGTCTTTGGAAGGCTTCGACTCGCCGTTGTCCTCTGCTGGCTCGTCCTCGTTTTCCTCTGCATCGTCCTCGTGATCGTCTCGTGCTCGTTTCCTTGGATTCGCGCCGGGTGATTGTGCTGGAGCGTCGTTCATCTGGGCATCCAAGCTTTTTGCGGTCACAGAAGCTGTGGCTGTGTTGTCGTTCTCCATGTTTACAGTTGTTGGCGGTGTCCTACGTATGGAACACAGGATATGGTAGGCGCTTTTGGCAGAGACGGAGTGCAAGGACGGCCGTGTCGCGGGGTCCACTGGAACTTTTTGGTAGTTTCGGGCGGCAGAATCCGACTGGAGTAGGCGGTGTGGAGCTTGAAGCTTGGGTCCCTCACCTAGGCGGGCTCTTCCAGTTGATCTGTGGAGCTGTGGTGGCCGGTAGCTTGGGGCGAGCTTGGGCGGCGGATCGTACCGCGCGATGAGCTGGACAGATCTGGACTCGGCAGACCAGATTTGCCGGGCAATGAGTGACTGGATTGGCTTGCTGCTTCGTCGACCGTGCTTGTGGATGATTGAGAGTAATTTGATGGTAGTGTATGCTGCAATTGGCCTACACATGAGCACCGGGGCAGGTAGTTGCAGGAGACTCATGGTTCTGCTGCCGGAAGAGCATGATAAATCCCGACGCGAACAGCCTCGTGATAGTAAGCTGCAAGGTGTTGGATGATGGTGTGTCACTCTTGATTAACGCCTTCTTAGCCTAGCCCAGTAGGTAGTTCAGACCTCGACATGCTTAGAGGAATCAATGGCCCAGGATAGATGGGCCACAAGGGATCCAGTCGTACTTGTGTCGTACTCGGAGGCTCCTCCGAGCTGTTGACGTAGCTGAAGTGCACGGCTTCTCATGGCCGGAGGATTTATTTCATCCTTGCAAAGGACGGACAGCAACCGGTGAGTAGGTATCATTCCTCATAGCTAGAACCACCAAATGCGGTATATTCTTTACATGGTAAAGACAACGTTTTGAAGACATTTCGATTTCTTGGCCAGGCACTCAGTTCAATACAAGTATTGTCTTCAAGCCGGTGCCTCGATGGACTACGGAACAAATTGGTCAAAGGTACAGCCAGGGATGAATTATGCTATTATACCCATGTAGATGACGCACTCAAATACTGATGAGATTCATAAATAAAGACATTAATTAGACCGTGATGAGGATGCAAGCCAATCAAAGTGAGCCCTTACTTCATAGATATGGTCGAAGAACTCCCAGGGTGTGTTCCCAGATCTTGCCCTGCGCCTTCTCTCGGAGCTGAGGCAAGACCTTTGCATTCGTAGTACAGTCGCACTTGTAATTGGGGAGAAACAATCCGTTGGCCTGCTTCTCCAGCGAATTCACGCCGGGCTTGCCTTTCCATGGCACGCCACGACCGCCAAAAGCAGCGCTGGTACTCATAAACAGATGCCTCTGTGCAGACTCGTCGTCATTGAACGAGAACAGAGCGATGAGGGGCTCAAGAAAGATCCAGATGAGCCAGGACACGATCGAATTCGGATCGCGGCCCCTCCTCACGTTCCCCGTGTTGACCCATCCAGGCCACGAGTGGATGAAAGTCACATTGGGATTCTCGCCGGCCAGCTTCTCCAAAGCCATCGTGTTCATGACCGTGTACTGCATCTGGGCTTTTATGGCTCCGAAGTTCCCGGGTTTCTTGAGGCCCAGGTCGTCCAGGTCGACGTTCGCCCTCTCCGTCCCGCCCGCCAGGACGCTGACGACCCTGGGGGCCTCTGCTGCTTCTAGGAGAGGCAGAAGGTGCAGGACGAAGAGGACCCGGGAGTAGTACTCGAGGCTCTGGGCGGTCTCCACGCCCTCGGCAGTCTCCGCCCGCGGGCCGAACGGTGCGTAGCCCGCGGTCAGGAATAGCAGGTCCACACGCGCTTCCTTGCGCTTGATGACATCGCACACCCTCTTCGTGTCCGCAAGAAGCGAGATCTCGCCCTCGGTCCAGATAATTTCAGCCTTTGGGTTTGTAGCCCGCAGCTCCTGGACGAAGGCGAGCGAGCGCTCTTCAGAGCTCTTGCGCCCGACTAGGTAGATCCTCACACCAGCTCCTGTGGCGACTAAGGCCTTGATTGTGAGTTGCCCAATTCCTGATGTGCCACCGGCGAAGACAGCGACCCGCGGCGCTGTAGCATCGTTGATCAGCGCGTTCGAGGCTTGTATCTCTGTATAAGAAACCATTGTAAGAGTTAAAGATGTTGGTGGATAGGATTGTTTTCGTATGTCTAGCTTGGGAAAGTGCCCTTGAAAAGGTCCAGGACAAAGGAACAGGTCTATCAAATATCAATCTTGAAATACCAATTAGGACTTACTCAGAATGATTCAAAGTGATATATCACCCAAAAGTGTCCAAAAGTGTCCGAAAGCGCAAGGGCTCGGGCTGTTTTTAAGCCGTTGATGGCGTATGTAGGATCATCTTCCTGCTGCCTGCTGCTGGCGGTATATCAGAAGGATTGGTTAGTTTAACCAAGTCTGGTCAAAGTTGGGAAGTTTCATGACGGTGAATTGAATGCATGTTTTGAATTACGTGTGGTTGAGGAGTGCCTCACAGCCATGGTGAGGCATGCTCATCAGGTACTCTCATTTGCAATCAATCGTATCGAAATGGCGCTAGTGACCTGCACACGACCAACCTGCCCAAAATTCATATGCACTTCATTTTTCAACTATTTACACCTCCTATATAATGAATACCTTCTTAATTTAATAGAGACCTATATAAAAAGAAAGCTACTTTTTTTTTTAATTCTTTTAATACTTATTTAAGGAGGGCGGAGGGAATATTAAAGGTATAAGGTATATTAATATATAATTTTAAAGAAGAATTTAAAATTTTAAGGAGGGTGTGTTTTTAAGCAAAAATAACTAAATTTACCCTAGGTTCCTTAATAGCTTTAATATAACTCTTAAATTTCACCCCCCTTTAAATCTAATCTTAACTTAAGTTATTTTTAACTTTAATTTAAATATAAATTCCTCCTCCTCCACTTACTTAATTTAATAATAAAAAAAGAAATAAAATTAGAAAAGAAGCAGCTTTCTTTTTATATAAGTTTTAAATAGATTAAAGCTAAATTAAGAGAGTTGAAAGAAGTGCATACGAATCTTGGGCATGTTAGTCGTGTGCAGGTCACTAGCGCCATTTCGATACGATTGATTGCAAATGAGAGTACCCACGTATCCACGTACGCTCCCACCCCAGGTTCTGGGGATCCCCGGACCCCTGCAAGCCCCACTGAAACTTAATGGAGTCGCGTCGCGGTACGCGTTGGGTGCTTGCTGCTCTCAGCGACCGAGCTTCCATGATGCACCTTCCCAAACTCCAGACTCTCCACACATGTACTTTCGACTCTATTGACCAAGACGCGATAGAGGGTGTTCGGCACTCTGTCTCTCTTCTTCGAGTCTGTTAGGTCCCTGGTTCGCTCAACATGTCTTCCAGACCAGAGTTGAAGGTTCGGCCTCCACTCACTCCCTGCCAACCCGGAAAGGCGCATTCTAACCGTGAGCTTCTCCCCAGGTCGACGACGAGCACGGATTCATCCGTTTCTTCAAGTCTCTGCCCACAGTAAGCGATGAGACCGTCCGAATATTCGACCGAGGCGACTGGTACACTGCCCATGGCGACGATGCCAACTTCATTGCCCGAACTGTCTACAAGACCACCTCCGTGGTCCGCCAGCTGGGCAAGAATGACCACACCGGCCTGGCATCAGTGACCATGACCGTCACTGTCTTTCGACAATTCCTCCGAGAAGCACTCTTCAAGCTCGGCAAGCGAGTCGAGATCTGGTCAAGCGTTGGCGGCCGCATGAACTGGAAGATCGCCAAACAAGCCTCTCCAGGAAATCTCCAAGACGTGGAAGAAGATTTGGGAGGCCAATTCGATGGTGCGCCCATGATCATGGCCGTCAAGTTCTCCGCAAAGGCTAGCGAGGCACGAAGCGTCGGTGTGTGCTTCGCGGACGCCAGTGTTCGCGAATTGGGAGTCAGCGAGTTTCTCGACAATGACTTATACTCCAACTTCGAGGCTCTTCTAATCCAGCTCGGAGTCAAGGAGTGCCTGATACAGTTCGACAAGAGTGACAAGGACAAAGACCCCGAGTTGGCAAAATTGAAGCAGATCATCAGCAATTGTGGCATTGCCATGTCAGAGCGGCCTGCGGCGGACTTCGGGACCAAGGACATTGAACAAGATCTTGCAAGAATACTGAAAGACGACCGTTCCGCCTCGATGTTGCCACAGACAGACTTGAAGCTGGCCATGGGATCTGCCGCCGCGCTGATCAAATACCTCGCTGTCCTTCAGGATCCCTCCAACTTCGGACAGTACCAGCTGTATCAACATGACCTCTCGCAATTCATGAAATTGGACGCTGCTGCCCTGAAGGCTCTGAACTTGATGCCAGGAGCACGTGATGGCTCCAAGACCATGAGTCTGTATGGTCTGTTGAATCACTGCAAGACGCCAGTGGGCAGCCGATTGTTATCCCAGTGGCTAAAGCAGCCTCTCATGAGCAAGGACGAGATTGAGAAGCGCCAGCAGCTGGTCGAGGCTTTCGTCAATGACACTGAACTTCGACAGATCATGCAGGAGGAGCATCTCAGATCCGTTCCTGATCTTTACCGACTGGCCAAAAAGCTGCAGCGGAACAAGGCCAACCTGGAAGATGTTGTAAGAGCATACCAGGTTATAATCCGACTGCCCGGATTCATTGGAACCTTTGAAGCAGTGATGGACGAGGCGTACCGTGATCCTCTGGATGCCGCCTACACCACCAAACTGCGTGAGCTATCTGATAGTCTCGTCAAGCTCCAGGAGATGGTGGAGACGACGGTGGACCTTGACGCGATGGACCAGCACGAATTCAAGATCAAGCCCGAGTTCGACGATAACCTGCGGGTCATAAGCAAGAAGCTGGATCACCTCCGACATGACATGAACAAGGAATTTGTGAACGCAGCCAACGATCTCGGCCAAGAGCAGGACAAGAAAATCTTCCTCGAGAATCACAAAGTACATGGATGGTGCATGCGACTTACGCGAGCTGAGGCGGGATGTATTCGCAACAAAAAGGAGTACAAGGAGTGCTCAACGCAGAAGAACGGCGTCTACTTTACCACTAATCATCTTCTCAGCATTCGCCGCGAATTCGACCAGTTGTCACAAAACTACAACCGCACACAGAGCGGCCTGGTCAATGAGGTCGTCGGCGTTGCGGCGTCATACTGCCCGGTCCTCGAGAAACTGGCAGGTGTCCTCGCTCACTTGGACGTCATTGTGTCCTTCGCCCACTGCTCTGCACACGCCCCGATCTCCTATGTACGGCCCACGGTACATGAGCGCGGGCAAGGCCGAACGATCCTCAAGGAGGCTCGCCATCCGTGCATGGAGATGCAGGATGACGTACAGTTCATCACCAACGACGTGGAGCTCACGCGGGACAAGTCCTCATTCCTTATCATCACAGGCCCAAATATGGGCGGCAAGTCCACATATATCCGCCAGATCGGCGTGATCGCTCTGATGGCTCAAGTCGGCTGCTTTGTGCCGTGCAGCGAGGCAGAACTGACCGTGTTCGACTCCATCCTTGCACGAGTAGGCGCAAGCGACTCCCAACTCAAGGGCGTCTCGACCTTTATGGCCGAGATGCTGGAGACGGCCAACATCCTGAAGTCCGCGACAGCGGAATCCCTAATCATCATCGACGAGCTGGGTCGCGGTACATCGACCTATGACGGCTTCGGGCTAGCATGGGCGATATCCGAGCACATCGTCAAAGAGATTGGCTGCTTCGCCTTGTTCGCGACGCACTTCCACGAGCTGACGGCGCTGGCGGAGCAGTACCCTCAAGTCACGAACCTGCACGTCACAGCGCATATAAGCGGTACGGGCAACGACAAGGACAGCAAGAGGGAGGTGACGCTGCTGTACAAGGTCGAGCCGGGCATCTGCGACCAGAGCTTTGGTATCCACGTTGCCGAGCTGGTGCGTTTCCCGGACAAGGTGGTCCGCATGGCGAAGCGCAAGGCAGACGAACTGGAGGACTTCACGACCAAGCATGAGGAGGGGGCAGTGGGCAAGTACAGCAAGCAGGATGTGGAAGAGGGGAGCGCAATGCTGAAGGAGGTGCTCGTGCGCTGGAAGGAGCAGGTGCAGGGCGGGGAGATGAGCAAGGACGAGATGGTGGCCAAGCTGAGGGAGTTGGTCAAGGCTGATGCGAGGCTGACCAAGAACCCATTTTTTGAGAGCGTCCAAGCCTTGTGATCTGGGCTGAACTGACAGATGCTTGAATGCTGTATTGTGGTAGGGGACATGGATGGGATGACATGACGTGTGGCTCTGGCGTTTGAAGGCTAGTCGGGATTCCTCATCTACTGTAGATGAACTTTGCAATGGGATAAATCGTCTGCCTAGCCTCAGGGGCAGCGACAGTCGAGTATACTCACTCTGCTGTTGTACTTCGGTATGCTTTAATGCTTCCGTGGTGTAATTTTGATGGCCGCCGGGCGAGTCAGTCCAAGCAGGCGGGCCGACGGGTAGGTTTGGATTCGAAACAACGTTTTGTCAACTAAAGTGCACCATCATGCGCTTGTCTTTTCGATGATATTAAACTCATTTATCATCGACAATATCGGTGACAACACGGTTCACGCAACAGCAACCAGGCTCGACCCCGGGCCGGGCTCGATTATCGCCACCGCTTAGAGGCACAAGCTCCAGTACCGAGGCGACGATGTTGCGCCTTGGTCGACCCGACCGTGGTACCGAAGCGGCTGTATCCGCCTCTTGATGGACCCGAGATCGGCATTTTCTTCGGTTCACAGGTACAGTACGACCGTGCCTCTTCCCTGCAGTCAAGTGGTGCTGCTGATTGCGCGTCTCCATGCGACCAGACAGGCATGCGAAATGAGGACCCCATTCACGATGTGCAGAACATGACTTCAGTTGACGAATTTGAGCCGCCTCTTCCCAGTCTAGCCGCCGCCTTGGCAGCCCCCTGACATCAAACCCAGTCTTGAAGGAACTTCTCTCTACTGCATTAATAAGCCCCTTCAGCACCCAGCCGGTGACCAGCCAGCCCTGGCGAGTTGCCGTCGTTGCCGATTTCCGTCTCATTCTCCACGGTATTCAGATCATCCACCAGTAGGAGCAGGCCATCCGGCGCTGCCCCTCCCTTCCAGGATCCATCGTTCCTCCCTTCCTGCAGCCTGGAAGATGGTGGCCACCATGCTGGCCATGCCGCATCACACCTTGGTTAGGGTGGACGAAACAAACGGATCGGCAGGGCGGGCCCAGAAGTCAAGCTTCCGCGAAGCTTTGCCCAGGCGGGATTCTCGTGGGGCCCAGCAGGCCGGGACCACCACTCACCTCTCGCTCCGGACCTCCTGGATTTCCTGGACCACACCCACCGGGACCCAGCTGCGGAAATTGATGATTGCTTAGCCGATGCTTGACTCGAAGGTCCCTCCACGCACGAGTCTCCCTCGTCGTTGTACTGTCAGGCCTTGTCCCAGTCGGCAGCTTTGGTCCTGACTTCGATTGCAAGCACTACCTGGATGACCATTGTGGTGCGGAGGTCGTGCGGCCTTCGAGCAGCAGTGCCCTACACCAGACCGGTGCTCAATGTCCTCGGAGCATCTCCCGAGGCGTCCTGGGGTCATGCTTCCTTCTCAATCTATCTCAACCCGATCCACAGAGCCCACCACCAACACGCCGTCATGCTCGATGCCAGAAACGGGATGTGGGTCAGGTGGTCCTCACTCCCATCTCCGACCCCTGCCTCCTGCGCCATGTGGACTTTGAGAGGAGATCCAGATGCAGGTCTAGGTGCGGACTTGACTGACAGTCTGACGGTCCGTATAAGTACCAAGGGTTTGTCTGTCGTTGACCTGCTCCTCCTATTGTGTTCTTGCGCAGTTGTAACACAGGTCCGCTCAGGTTCATTCTTTCCTCTGTACATTTCCCCTTCCGTCACGTTCCCGGCTTGCAGAGCAAGTCCGCGTTGTATATATCCAAGCTTGGAGACTACTTGACATCTGAGATCGTCCAATTCCACGCTCAGAAAACATGAAGTCCTTCGTTCTGGCAGCTGCCGCTATCCCAGCCGTGCTTGCTTCTTGCAGCAGCGCTGCCGCCGTCTCCAGCAGGCCTACCGGTGCCTCGTCTGGTGCTGCTGCCGCCACAACAGCCGCCCCTACTGCGACAAATGCTACTGTGACCGGCAATGGTGGGACAACATGTACAGTCACTGCCGCCGCCGGTGTCGCCTCGGCGGTCGCTTCGTGCTCCAACATCCTCCTGGACAGCCTGTCCATGCCGGCCTCCTCAACTTTGGACCTCCAGAAGCTACAGCCAAGTGCTTCCGTCACCTTCAGCGGAACCACGTCTTTTGGATACACGGCAGATGAAGACTTCGACCCCATCGTCGTGTCAGGCGACCATATCACCCTAACCGGTGCCCCAGGCCACGTTATCGACGGGAACGGGCAGGCCTACTGGGACGGCCAGGGCAGCAACGGAGGCACCAAGAAGCCGGACCACTTCTTTGTCGTCAAGAAGACCACCTACGCAACCATCTCTGGCCTTAACATCCAGAACTGGCCGACTCACTGCTTCTACATGACGGGCAACGAGCACCTGACGGCCCAGAACATCCTCCTCAACAACACGGCCGGAGACGCGCCCAACTCGGCATCCGGCTCCAAGGCCGCGGCGCACAACTCGGACGGCTTCGACATCGGCGCCTCGGACTACGTCACCCTGTCCGACATCCAGGTGTACAACCAGGACGACTGCGTGGCCGTGACCTCGGGCACGCAGATCACCGTGTCCCGGCTCTTCTGCTCGGGCGGGCACGGCCTGTCGATCGGTTCCATCGGCGGCAAGTCCAACAACACGGTGGACACGGTGCTGTTCGAGGACTCGGAGCTGGTCAACAGCCAGAACGGGGTGCGCATCAAGTCCAACAGCGGCACCACGGGCTCCGTCGCCAACGTCACCTACCGCAACATCAAGATGTCGGGCATCTCCGACTACGGCCTCGACGTCCAGCAGGACTACCTCAACGGCGGCCCAACCGGCGAGCCCACCAACGGCGTCAACATCTCTTCCATCACCTTTGAGAACGTCACGGGCACCGTCGAGTCGGACGCCTACAACTACTACGTCCTCTGCGGTGATGGCTCCTGCAGCGACTTCACCTTCACGGATGTCGACATCACCGGCGGCAAGGAGAGCTGCAACTTCCCTACCAGCACCTGCCTTGCTTCGGCATAGGGCAAACGAGGTTTATGTGTTGGTGGTGGATGATCAATGTTATCGAGCGCTCGACACATGTGGAATGACGCAAGCGTGCACATATGAGTTCATGTATATAGTTCCTTCGCTTCGGAGCAGTCTTCCGAAGGAAATCGAAACACTCTGCCGTCAAGGGGCAAATGTCCTAGAGATTTAACTTGTTCTTGTCCACTTTCTGCGGTGATTGTTCTCCACTTGGCCTCACATCGATTCCATACTGAGCCCTACTTTTCTCTACACATGTGTTCGTCGCGCCAGCACGTCATAACCCGCACAACCATTTGTGCAGCAATACCTGAGCCATACAGTTTTCAATTGTCAATTCCTAAACTACTACATACAGTTATTATGCTGGAGTACCTCGTGTATACACGGCATCACCATGCTGCTAGTCAAAGGCCTGGCCAACCGATCAAGAGTGTGCGGCCGCTGAGAGATCAGGCACTGTCAGGATTACCACCGTCTTCCCCGTCGGCCTAATCGACTGCATCAGAAATCCACACCTTAGCCCTCTTCTTTGGGCTCTTCTGAGTCGGACTCGAGTTCATCAACCGTCTAAACTTCTCCACCGGAGTTGAAGACTCTGCTGCGCCCACCAGGTCGTCGTCAATGTGGATCTCAATTGTCCTGTTCAGCGCCGGGCTGCTGTTGACATTCTCTCGTCGCCTAGAGGAACCCGCCACCATTACTTGACCTCCCGTGATCTGAACTTCCGTGATGCCGAAGGCGGACAGGTCATCTTCAACCACCCTGTCCATGCTGCTCATACCGCTCTCGTCACTAATCCCAATCATCGCGTTTCTCCGTTTGCGCCGCGACCTGTCTGAGCGCCGCGATTCCCGAGCAGCCTTTGCCTTCGATTCTCGCAGGAAACGAAGCGCTTCTTGCTCTCCACTGAGTTCAAGGATTTCCATGAATCGACCAAGCAAATACTCGGGGACGTGTCCATCATCGGCTGGTTGAACTGTTCCAGGTGGCTGAGCAGATTCAGTAGGGTTGGCAGATTGGGTGTTTGAAGCAGACTGAGCAGGCCCAGTCGACTGCTTGAGCTGCCACAATCCGGCAAGAGATAATCCAAGAATCTTCATTGCTTGAAGGGCGGCTTTGACCATGTCATCCGTTATTCGTAGTTCTCGCGACCATGATATGAACACTGGCATTGATCTGTACTGTAGACGGAATTCTTGTATGTCTTCAGCAGTGACTCCAGGAAGACCAGTGTAGGGATGTCCACGTTTTTGCTTGCCCGCTATACTGGATGCTAGCAAGGCAATTTTCACGTTCAAAATCGATTCATCCCTCATACTCGGTAGTGAATTGCGTATATTTTCCGCCTCTGGGGTAGTTACTCGTGGAACATCAGTTGCGAAATATGCAGGCTCGGGCCCCTCAACTCGTCTTGAAGCAGCAATAGGGGTTCCTTGTACTGAAAGATGATTTTGGTGGTGATGGCTGTGCGACGAAATCGCGTGTTGAGGCTGGAATGTGCCCATACGAGGACCAAGCTGGGACGGATGATGGGGTCGGAAATCAGATCCGCTTTGAGGATGAAAACCTGTGTGGCCCCGTTGAGGGTCTCTCATTCTCAAGTCTTCTAGCCCACTCCCAGCTGCCTGTCTGTTCCATACTTGATGCTGTATCGGGGCATTGGTGTTCGGCGGCAGACTCATCCTAGGAGGCGGCCCAGAGTTGGCTGGAACCTCGCTCCTGTACGCATTCGTGAATCTGTCCGCAGCGTTTCCTGGTCTCATCGAAACGTGCGTATTGGCAGGAGTCCTTGCTTGCGGTCCGCCCTCGGATGAGTTTTGACTGGGCAACTGCGGGTATGCCGGAGCTTGAAGAGTCAGACCGCCATACGCGGTTAAAGCAAAGCGACCGCGGTTAGCATACATCGAGGCGCCGGACGCAAGTCCATAATTGCCAACCTGGTTGACATAGCCTTCGTGCTGAGCTGGCTGCATGTGAGGAAGCTGAGGGGTGGCCAGAGAAAGCCGAGGGGGTGGTAAACCTGCGGCGACTTCTTGAGAGAACTGAAGAGGCGTGTTTCCAGGCGTAAGGTATGGCAGGTACTGGGGAGGCAGAGACTGGTGACGCCAGGGCTGGTGAGGCATAGGCTGGTGAGGCATAGGCTGAAGGTTGCCGAAAGAAGCCTGCACAGGTGGATATACCTGGGACGGCTGAGCCTGCGGGAGGGCCCCAAAACCTGGCCGCACCTGCATATCCGAAGACCCTGTTGTGTTGACCCGCTGTGCCTGAGAGGTGTTTTGGTCACCAGCCGGGTCACCGGGGGAAAGGGACATATTATCATCCTCGCTCAGAGGCCGTTCGTTCCCGCGGCCTGTCTCTGGTGTTTCTTCGCCCTCTGCTACAGTCCGTTCGCCTTCAGGTTCCTCCTTGAGCATTGATACCATCTGAGCAATATCTTCGAAAAGGGGTGACATGGCAGCATTTGCGGCGGGAGCTGTATCTGATTGTGTCCTCCCGTCCTTGTCCTGCGTGACAGAATCCAGAAAAAGAGCCGTAGAGATGGTTGGATCTTTGGTACCCGGACGGAAAGCCTGCGTGTTGTTTCCGCCTGGCTCGAGTGAGGCAGATTTACAAGCAGGAGGCAGTTGCTCGATTGGCTCGTCTAAGATGCTTGATGTATAAAATGGGTGGAATGGCCCAGTTGCCGAGATTCTCTCCTTGGACGAGGGGACCTCGTATAGAACGCCCTGCTCGCCGGCGTGCGTTTCCAACATCGAATCCATGAACGGGTTTGTGAAATCATCATGTGCGTTACTATTCGAGTCCTACTCGCGATGCTCTACATGTGACACCTCTGCCGCGTCCTGCATGTCGACGTCGACGCTCTGGATGACCTCATCGGCGGCAGTGGGAACCTGCTCGCTAGGTGTGACCAGATTCCGCTCCGGGATCTTGACCAGTCGGTCGACCTGGTCCTCACGCACGTACGCCACATAGTAGGGGCTGGCACCATTGTTCAAGTCGTTCAGAACCTTGTCCTTGTCGGCATGGACTTCGACCCTCTCGTCGTTGTAACTGCGCCACACATTCTTGTCAAAGTCGTAAATCCAGACCCAGTAGTGGCCGGAGCCCAGACCGCCGCCGTGGCAGATGACGGCATGGAGGCGATAAGCGACATTCGTCATGTCGGTGAACAGGGCTGATAGCTCTTGGCGGTCGCGTTCCTTGCTATCCTCGTTGAACTCATGCAGATGGCGACGAGCATTCGAGCTCAGGTCGACCAATGGTCCCAAGGTTGCGCCGTCCATGGCAACATCCTCGTTCTGTGATTGAGAGGGACTGGGTAGCTTGCCTTGGTTAACGAACATATGCTGAAGGTCGGGAGTCAGGATAGACACGTAGTCCTCATCTTCGACCGTCATCATCTCTTTCTCGAACGCATCAACAACTGCATCACCTGCATCGACGACCTCGTAGCCTGCCTCATTGGGTTTGTCCTTTTCATCCCTGAACTTTGACTGAACAGGCTCCGGCTGCGATGGGCGATCCAGGGCGTCGAGCCGCCGCTTCAGTTGCCAGCTGCGCTGCCGCTTCTTGAACAGAACCGAGTCAGTGTCTCCATCCATATAACGATCCAAGTAGAGCTTTCCAGGGATCTCGACGACATTGTTGTTTCTGCTTAGCTTCCCATCGACATTCTGACTCCTCTGAATGTAGACGTGGAGGATTGGAGACGCTTTTGTGATGGAGGAGTACGTCTCATGGCCATCCTCTTGAAATTCCTGATCAAAGTTGCTGTCAAGTGCTTTGTAGAGGTCGATCTTCCCTTCCTTCGCCGGAAACGCAGTCATCCACCTCGATAGATCAGGCACAGATCTGAAGTCAGACTGGGGCTTTCCCGTATTCATGTCGACGGTCCGAATTTTCTTGACGCTGGACCAGTAGAATGTCTCCGTGATGATGTCCGTCTGCTTGCCAGTGTGCTCATCTGTGCCAGTCGGCTTGATAGCAGCGTGGAGGTGCTCTAGAATGTTGCCCATGACTTCCTCAACATCTTGCTGTTCGGTTCCAGTGACGCTGACGTCGTTAAGGGCACCTGTGATCTTCTCTTCCACCGTGAGCGCCTGCTCGACTTTGGTTTCCGTCACAGGCGCAGTCACATTCTCATCCGTGCCACTCATTTTGGCACCAGAGACACCTGAGAGACCCTGCTCGCGATCCACAGATCGTCCACGCCCACCATCCCCTGGGCCGGTTGCTTGCTCCTTGTCTTCGTCTTCGAGCGCAACCCTCTGCTTGGCTGGCACAACCTGAGGAATATCCCTATCCTCCGTTGAATTCTGAGAGATCGTGACGTAGGTTTGGTCGGCGTCTTCATCCCTTTGGTCTACCAAGGTCGAGGAGCTGACGTTGCTAGCGGTATCAGCATGCTCCGAAACAGCATTGACTGTAACAGTGGGCTGAGTCGATTGGGACGGAGGCTTGGGCGAAGGCCTAGCGGGCAAAGGGGGTGGAGGAGGCAAATCCACGTTTGACGAGTCAGGTTTTGGCTGAGGACCTATTGCCGTTGTGGAAGCCTCTGCAGGTTTGCCTCTGACAAGTTGATCTGCAGTCTTCAGTGCGGCGAGTGCTAGGCGTTGCTGAGGTCTGATAGCACTCTCGTTCGAGCTTTGAAGGTCCAGAAACAAGGATCTCATCTCCTCGACGAACTTCGCAGCCAGGAAAGCCTCAGCCTTGTCCAGAGCTGAGCCGCTGCCCCCGAGGCGGCGAGTCTTGAGGTTCTCTTCCGTCGGCTCCAGTTTGAACTCCTCCCAGTTGAGTACAACACTACGTACCGGCAAGACGGTATTGAAATATTGGAGGATGCTGTTGAGGTAACAGGTGTTGCGGATGTTGACCAGGCCGACTGGTAGGGAAACATCCAGTGGAGGTTTGGCGCCAGTCTGGGAAGGGGAACCCAGCGCAACCGTGATGGAGTTGTCGTCCGCCATCCATGGCACGCCTGCTTCCTTCTCCAGCTCAATAGCTAGAACTTCCAGCTCTGCATGGTTGTTGTACTTCTTTGTCAATGATCTCAAGGCACCCGCCGCTAAAATCCGATCAATACTCTTGTCCTACAATCTCCACGTTAGCTGGCTGCGAAGGAGTGGCCCAGGGGGATCAGGCAAGCAAAACAAACCTCATTGACATTAGTCTGGACGTAACTGGGGATGACATCCTGCACGGCCTCTTCCGGGATTCCCAGGAATGCCATGGCCTCTTCCGGTTCGAAACGACAGGCGTAGTGCACAATGTCAGGGTCCTTTTTGTTCTTGCCGATGAGCAACAGGTTATTTCGAAGTGTCTTCCGCTCATGCTGGGAGGCTGACTTCAACTTGTTGTCAAACTGTCGGAGGAGAATCTCGTTGCTAGCAGATTGTTCCGAATCGAGTGCCCTGTAAGCCTTGTGCAGGGGATCTGCCCCAGCCTCTCTTGCCGATCTCACAATAACGAGTGCCAGTTCCTCGCCCTCCAACCACTTTCTAAGCTCCGGGCTGACGCCCTCTCTGTTTTGGCTGACGCGGCGAAGCGCCTCGTAGTAGAGCTCCCGGCTGGCAGGGTCGGTCTGACCCTGACAGGCACAAGCGTACCAAAGCATGTTTTCGTGAATGTCATTGTTGACGCCGAGGAGATCGAAATCATCTGGGCTGTAGTCGCCGAATGACTGTTTTGACTTGGCGTACTTGGCGTCGAGAAGGTCTTCCAGGACCTTTATGGTGTCTATCTGCGGGTTGACGGGCATCTCGATGGGTGCAACCAGATATTTAGGCAGATTGTCCACCACGAGGAAGTAGAGATGTATCCGGCAAATCTCAAACCAGCCTCTCCTGCTCATTGGATCAGTGAAGGCTGAGGGTGTATCATCGAGGTGCGGTAAAACCAGTGACTGGTCGCCGTCTCCGTCCACCGTCTGGAACTCCAGAAAGTCGAAGATATCTTGAAACCTGTCCCAGAAGCAAAGAGTGAAGAACTTGTTACGATAGGACACCTTCTTCTCCGCACTGTCGGGCCCTGATTTGAGGACATCGCTAAGGTACTGCCACAGGTAGTGTGCCGGGAAGAGTTTCGCGCGCTTGTCGGGAGACTTGAAGTCTTCGTACCTATCACGGTCATCGGATTCCAGGAGCTCCTTCAACCTTGCCTGAATGGATTCGCGATCAACTAAGGATGCCTCCCACACCTCAGGCAGGCGGCGATCGCACACTTCTACGCGAACAGTCAGGTCGCAGCCCATGGCAGAACATATGAAGTCTGCCTCTCCAATGATGGGATAGTGCTTGGAGTGAAGGGATCCTCCATCCGAAACGGTGGTGGCTACCAAATGGTGCATGCGTTGGACGTTCTTGTCGCACCGACGACCGGTCTGGCACTTCAAGACGATCGTGAAGGTCTTCTTACACGCGCGGCACATGCAAACGGCCAGAATTTCGTCGTGTTCTTGGGCTTTCCATTCTGCAGGAGAGTCAGAGGACTGGCTCAGAACGCGGTAGAGATCATGGCGCGCTGGATGTGCGGAGGCACGATGTGCGCATGGTGGTATGCCGGCATCGCCAAGAAAGCCGTTGACAAGATCGACAATCCATTTTGAAGCGAGACGGCCTTGCACAGATATCACCAAGGTCAGTCGGGGTCATGCCTGCCAGAAAGAGTCCAATGAAAGACGGAGAAGAACGCACCTGGTCTGCCGAGCTCCCTTTGTCTGAGCTCGCCACCGTTCGCTGTATCGATCTCTGAGTAGGCAGGGAGGCCTTGTGACCGGGTCTGGTGATGACCATAGTTATACTCGCCCATCTTCGGGGAGGAGCAGTGGTTGTAGCAGCTGTGTCGAAGGTCAGTCTTGCATGGACGCTTGCGAGGCTGCAGTGTGGCAGAGACGCCGCCCGAATCTCTGCGTCTCTTCGGAGGCATGGCGCAATCTATGTGATGTGCTCGTATGGGAGTGCGGACACATGTGGACTGGACAGTTGCATGGGGGATGGGCGGTTTGGATTGCAGGGCGGATGAATGATTGTACTGACTGCAAGGCGTGGCTAATCTGGGTAGCGAGCTAAGTTGGGTGTCGATGCTGAAATGCTAGATGCTGTCTTCCACGACGGCTCAGCCTGTCGGCAACCGATATGATCTGGCTGCTCTCTGTCAGGCCGAAGGTCGAAGCCTGCTAGGCCAAAGACCGACTGGAGACCAAGAAAGGCAAGGAGAAGGGATGCTGAGGTTGGCAGTTACGCCAGCTGTTCTGTAGTATGAAGTGGTTGATGGATGGGCACTGGTGAGGGTCTGGATTGGGAGTTCGAGATGGGAGTCTGAGACCGGAGCCGGGGGGGGGGCAGGAGGAGGGGAAGTGCAGCTACTGTGAGAATGTGCCTCAACTTGCAAGCCCGTATGTGATGAATAATGTAGGCTGCAAGGCAACGCAAGCTCTCATGAGTTTGAGAAGCTGATGATGGAGGTCGGAACGGTGGCGCTTGCTCCCAGAAACAGAAACAGATGACCCGGTCCTTTCACAAGGCGACAAGGCTGCGTCAGCTTGATTGGTGTCAATGAGCGTCCGTCAGAGGCGCCGACACAGGGATGACGGAACCTTGGGGAAGGACCTCAGGAGCTCTGACCTTCTGAAAGGTGGGGGGCTACTGGTGTCTGGCTGCCTTCCAGCCTGTAGCGCTGTTGCAGCAAGCTCCCCCTGGCCTGCAGAGCACCAGAGCAGCTACCACCGTATCGGGTAGTCTTCAGGTGCCCAGGTACCCAGGTACCTGTTGCGGCAAGATCACGTGCAGAGTGGCTGACTCAACTTGCCGTGCCAATTGGATGCAGTCTATTGGACATTTGGGAACAAGCAAAGAGCTCCACCGTCAACCGTCGACCGAACGGAGAAGCTTCCAACCCCCCCCCAGCCAGACTCGAGCAGCCTCTTTCGACCGATCCTCCCGACGACGTCCACACGATCCTGCCCCCGAACCACACTGAGAAATGGCGCCCCACGGTGATGATGATGTCTACCACCCGGTCGATGCTCTCAAGGTCGGCATCCAGGGCGCCATGATCACCGGTGCCGCCGGTGTCTTCGCAGCCGGCATCAAGAACGCGACCAGGAGAACGAACCATGGTGCATTGGGCATCTTCACTCGCAGCGGCGGCACCATATTCACCTTCAGTAAGCCACCTCCAATGCCTTGAGCGACAAACGTACCGCACCAATTGGCCAATCGCTGACACGTCGGTTCCCCCATCTAGCTGCCGTCGGCGGTGTGTACGAGTTCGCCCGCAGCGCAGCCGCCAACCTGCGCGAGAAGAAGGACCACTACAATGCAGGCATTGGAGGTTTCTTTGCTGGCTCTATTCTGGGTGTCAGAGGTAGGTTTATGCCCTGACCGGGAGAGGTGGGTAATTGCAGAGGACTGACGCGCCGTCTTGCCTGCAGCTGGCCGCATGCCTGCCATCCTTGGCTACGGCGCCTTCACATCGATCCTCCTCGCAGCCTTCGAGTACACAGGTGGAAGCCTCAAGGGAAAGAAGCCAGAGATAGAGGGGATGGACGAGTTTGAGAGGAAACAGCACCTGCGGACAAACAGGAGGCGGCCACTAGAGGAGACATTAGCAGATGTTGCAGAGGGACGAGGTAAGTGAAACTCGTACTCCCCCGGTTGGACACCCTGACTGACACCACAAAGGCATTAAACCACCAGGTTACGAGGAGCGCCGCCGAGAGAGGCTGAGAGAGAAGTATGGAGTTGAGATCAGCCCCGTGTCGGCAGAGGCTTCATAGACAAGATGCTGCCTATTTCCGACCTGTACATAATAGAACCCTGAAAGTCCGCACAGAGCGGATACTGACGACAGCCAAATGGAATTGGAATTTAACCAATGCTGCTAGCTCTACTGTTGAGCTCTGTCTAGCTCTACTCGGTGAATCCGTTTCTCGAGCGTGACGTTGGTCGTCTTGCTTACTGACCTGACTTGGTAAGTCTCCCCCAGACAATAGACCTTGTCCTCCCTCACCAACATGATGACTTTCGAGGCTGTTTATGAATTTGTTCTACGCAAACATGTTTATCTTAACCTAACTACATTGTTCAATTTTTCTGTCTGATACACTTCCCCGATCCTCAATACTGTGTCCGTTACTGTTCTTGCACAAGGCTAACTTCAGCAGCGTCCAGGGCCCTGATACATATCGGATTATTTTACAAGTATTCTTTCCAAAGTAAGTACCCCAGTTCTCTGACTCTTGTTCCCTTACTGATGATCCTTGAGGCTGTTTATGATTCAAGATGATTCACTAAACTCACCTACATTGTTCAATTTTTTTCTTCTGATTCCACGTCCTATCCTCTATCGCCTACCATCTCAGTGTTTGGCCCAAGTTCACCACTGACGAAAATCGAAGACAGCATTCGGCGGCACAGCCCACATGCCCAGTTCTGACGTTGATGATACCAAGTACTGTAAGTTGGTGCTCGCCCTTGCGCATTTCCCTTTCCATCCTAATGATGACTATTGAGGCTGTTTATGATTCCACATGATTCATTAAAACTCACCTACATTATTCTTTTTTATTCTGACATTCCCCCCTATATCATTTACAATTCCTTGAGTAAAGTTAGGAACTTAGGCTAACTGTGGAAAGACTCCAGTTTGGTCAAGTTCGGATGGGTCAAAGCCATTTCCTCAACATCGAGGTGGAATACCTGTGATGGAAAAATATGTACTCAAGCAGCTCAGCATTGATGCAGCAAAGCTGGACGGACAGACCTCACCTTGGTGACTAGACTAGACCGGCCACTGTTTCCTCGTGTAAGCTCGACTCTAATGCCCGTGGAAGTAGGCAGGCTTAGGTGCCAAGAAAGCAATTCGTGGGAACCTGGCTGTGGGAAGCGACCCCGATCTAGCAACAAGAGCCACATCCCACACATTTTTGAGATCGTCATGCAAGAAGAGACCAAGCTCACCAGCCCGAGTTGCGTCTAGGCTGAGCTCAGATGGCCTATTACCCGAATACGTCTTTCAAAGCTTGAGCGTTGAAGTTGGGTAGTACAGAGTAGGCTGGAGGAGGCTGGTTTGCGATTGCTTTTGTTCGCAGAGGTAGAGAAAGAGGTCGCAGTGGTAATGCAGTGAAGCTTCTAGATCGTAAATTGAACAGTATGTTGTACAAGTAAAACAAGTAAAGCAACCAAATATCCGACACGCTCCTTCGCCTTCTCTAGGATCCATCGCTATGCAAGTAGTTCAGATCTCATCCCAGCCTGTGACGGCGTCCTCGACGATCGGCCTAATGATTTTCCTTCCAGCATCGGACTCGTGTGTCCAGACCATCTGTCTAGGTGCCAGCTCGTCCACCCTGTGCCACGGCTTCAGATTGAGGCCCTTGTCGTTCTCCAGCGCATTCTTGGCCACCCGGAACAGCGAGTCGGCCTGCGTCTGGTTGATCCGCACATCGTCGCGGACGACCAAGATGATCTCCCTGATCTTCCTCTTCTTTCCGTGCTCCTTGACCTTGTACTTGGTCAGTACAACACTGATGTCGACGCCGACCTCTGCGGTCCAGGCCGCGTGCACAGCGAACCAGTCAAACAGCTCCTCGAAATCCGTCTTGGTGATCTGGTTGTCCATCGAGTACGGGACAACAGCAAACCCAAGGCTCACGGTCGGCGTCCGCGGCGACGGGGTGTCGATCAGGTCGCCCTTCCAGTCGCGGCGCAGCAGATCGCGGAGCTCGAGGTGGTCCAGGTCCTTCTTGGCGCCCTTGAGCTCGTCGGCGAGGTCGTCCATAACATCGTCGAGATCCCTGCGAGCCCAGTTGCTGCGCTTGAGGATGCGCTCTGACACCGTCACGTCGTCGTCGGTGGTGATGTCGCTCGTCAGGCCGCCCGAGTCGATGGCGATGGCGCTGAGGATCAGCTCCAGCAGCTCGTGCGGCATGTGGTACTCCTCGGGCAGGGCCTCGAGCTCGTCGAGCATCTGCCTCGCGACCAGCGTCGTGCAGCTCGCCACCTTCTCGAAGACGCGCGGCTTGGCGTCCGGCGCGACGCCCCGGTCGACGTGGTGGTCGAAGATGCTCTGGATGGTGGCCCCCCTCCACTTCCGCAGCGGCTCGGCGTGGTCGACCAGGACAAGCCCCTTGAGCTTCGGGCCAAGCGTCTCAGGGTCCTCGGGGAGCTCGTCCAGCGTCAGCAGGTCCTGGTGACCCTTGGTCATCTGCGAGTTGTCCAGTGCGACCTTGTTCTCGGGCCGGAGGTCCAGCGCGTGGCTTGGTGTCTGCAAGAGTGCTATCGCCTTGATCGGGTCCGAGTCATTCATCGTCTTGTGCTCCAAGTGGTACGCCCACGTGAGAGCCGCAGCCATGCTGTCCAGATCGCCGCCCTCGTTGCCCTGCACGATGACCCATTCTGACTCCTTGCCAGCCTGCCAGTCGATGAGGAATTCCTTCTTGTTGGAACGGCTCCACTCGCTGAAGTGCCCGACGCCCTTCTCCGGCTTGCCAAAGACGACCTGCTGCTGCGGGCCCTGCGGGACGGCAGAGACCGCGGCGGATGCCATGAGCACCGCGCTGAGGCTGAAGGCTTTCATGACGGTGATGCTCGATGGTGATGAAACACAATGGATAGCTGCTGAGCATGGAAGGGAAAGTGAAGAAGAACAGGGCGATGAAGGATGTGTCTGGGGCGGTGCCCTTGGCCTTTATCCAAGGCCAGCAGCCTTGGGATGCTGTCAGCCAAGCCTGGACCGTGCTATCCTTAGCGCGAAGGTTTCCACCAAGAGGCCCGTTACTCTCATATGCAATTAATCGTATCAAATTGGCGCTAGTGACTTGCACATAACATACCACACCAAAAATCGTATGCACTTATCATGCTATTAATTAATACCCTTAATATTATTAATTTATATATTAATTAAAGTTATTATTATTATTAAAAGCTTATATATTAATTATTATATATAGCAATTACCCTTAATTATAATTTTTAATGGGAACAAAGGTTTGAAATTTAATATCTCCTGTGAATTTAAGGTAAATTCGCGGGGAATTTCTTTATTTAAATATATACATGGTAAATTCACCGTAAAACCATATATTTACGGTAAATTCACTATAAAAGTACTATAAATTCACAAGTACCTATAAATTCATAGCGAATTCATTATAAATTTACCATAACCCATCTATATTATATTAAATTCCCCCTTATAAATAATTTACTTTTAAGCATAATCTTCTTATAATATTAATAAGTAGTTTAAACTTAGGTAAATCTAGAAAATAATAATAAATAAGGAGTTTAAACCTTAAAAGCCACCTTAATAATAATAAAAGGTAATAAAGGAAATATAAGAGTCCTTAATAAGGTATTCTAGCTGTTATTATAAACTTTAACTATTAAAGTAAAATAATTATATAAGTATATTTATAGTTTAGCTAGGATATTTAATATAATAAAAGCAATTAATAATAATATTAAAGAATCTTTTTTATAAATAATATAATAAGTTAATTTCTATTTTTAAGTAAATAGCAAAGTATACTTTAATTTAATATATTAATAAAACCTAATTTATTTTTATTATATTTAATAATAATAAAATAAATTATATAAGGTAAGTGTATTAAAATAGTTAATAGTAAAGTAATTAAGCTAGAAATATATATAAGTAGCGTTATAATATGGAAAATATAGTAGCTAAATGCGGCTAGGTTTTAAGTTTAATTTATCTTTATAGCATTATAATAAAAGTTTTAATTATTATTATAAATTTGCTATAAATTTATTATAAATTTATTATAAATTTATTAAGTATTATTTTTAAAATGGGATAAATAAAGTAATAAGTATGGTTATATATTTATAAGGTAAGTTAGGCTATATATATAAACATTATAGCTATTAATATATTTTATTTTTATAATATTTCTTTATATTAATATAAAATTATTAATTTATAAATTAATTAATATATTAATTGCTAAAAGAAAAAACCTAAATTATTTTTATTTATAATAAACTCTTTTAAAATAAAATAAAATAAAAATAATATTATTTCCTTTTAATTCTTATTATAGTAAAATATAAATATAATTATATAATTATAAGATTTTTAGCATTTAGTTTTGCTTAGTTAATATTAATAATGTTATTATTACTATAATTATTATTAATAATTCCCTAAATTGCATTAATTACATTATTAATAATATTAGCAGTAATTAAATTAACCTTATTATTAATTAATATATAACACTTTACTATATTATAAATCTTAATATAGTTAATTAAGCTAGCTATATAATTACATATAATATTTTAATTAATAATAATTAAGGAGTTGTTAAACTTAACCTTTTAAGCATAAATAATAATTAAGCAATTAATTTAATTATTCTTATTATAGCAAATCTTAATAATATTAAAGTTTTAGTTTATATATAGCAATTTATATAAAATAAAGCTAATAAGAATATAATTAATCTTATTATTTAAATTAATAAAGCATAAAATGTTAATAATTTTATATAAATTAATAAAGAAAATATATAAAATTAAAGTTATAATAATATATTTATTATAAATAAAGATAATAATAATATATTAATTATTAATATTAATTATATTATTATATTAAGCAAAATAATTATTAAGAAGGTTAATAATAACAGGATAATATAAGTTAAACTTAAGGTTAATAATTTCTTTAAACTTATTTATAAATATAATAATATTTATATAAAAGTTTTTAATTTTAAGAAATATAGCAATAATAATTAAGTTTACCTTCTTAAATTAAGTAGTATTAACTTTCTTCTTAATTAAAAATATAAATAAGTTATTAAAATTAAACTTTAAGGTAATTAAATAAATAAGCTTAATATTATTTTTATTATTATTAAAAAGGTTAATGATTGCTTTATATTTATAGCTAAGAGTGGATAAGTTAAAGCTAAGATTAAGGTAATAAAGGATATTAATAGGGGATTAAGGCTTTTAAGCTTTATTAAATAATTAGCTAACCTTAATAGCTAATATTAAAATAGCAGCCTTATTAATTTTAATATTAATAGTTTACTTAGCTAAGTATATACTTAAGTTTTTAGCTATATAAGTAAGGGCAGCCATAGTAAAAATAATAGCAATGGCTTCCTTATTAATAATTAAAATCTCCTTATCTTAATAAATAAATTAATTATATAAGTTATAAGCTTAATTTTTAAAAGGCATATTATATTAATAGTTTTATAATATATCTTAATAATAAATATTAAGAGATGGGCTATATAAGTATAGGCTTAGCAGGTTATTATAATAATTATAAATAAGGAAGTTAATTATATACTTTTATTTATCTTTCTCTATTAATCTTAAGTTTTTTAATATTTGCTTACCTTTTTATATAGCGTTATAAAGATTTTAGCTATGGTATAATGGGTTATTATAATTAATTTAATAAAAAATAAGGTATTAATTAATAAATAATTTAACTTATACCTTAATAATAAATTATTTAATAAAATAGTTAAGTAAAAGGTTATAGGGAATAAAGATATTATATTTAACATTATAATTAAAAAGGTTATTATATTTCTTTTTATAAAGGGTTTATTAAAAAGCCTTATAATCGCCTTAATAATAAGCAAGCAAATTATTATAGCAAGTTATAATAATATATATACAAAGAAATATATATATCTCTCCATTATATAAATAGGTTGCCTAATAGTAGCTAATTATTAATAGCTTGCTAGCCTTATATAGCTTAGCTATAAAGTAACAATATTTAAATATATAACTTTATTATAAGTATGCTATGCTAAGGTTTTAACTAATTAAATATAAAATTGTATAAAAGTTTAATATAATAGGATTATTAACCTTAATAAGTTTATAATTATAATAGCATTAATTTATTATAAATAAATAATATTATAAAATAATGGGATTAATAATAGCCTTTAAGGTAATATAATAATAGTTAATTAATAAAATAGTTAGCTAAATTTAATAATAAATAATATTAATAAAAGTTAAAAGAATATATTATAAAATTATAAATAATTAAAGTAATATAATTAAAAGAGCTAATTAAGCATATTAATTTATTATAAATTTATAATAAATTATTTATACTTAAATAATTGCTTTTTAAGTAGCTTATGCATTATTTTAATATAATAAAGCTATAATAGCAAGGCTACTATTAATCCTTTTTTTTAATAACCTTTTTTACTTAATAAGCAAGCTTAGCTAAAAAATATTTATTAGCTTAAAAAGTAAAGACTTTATTATAATATAATAATTAGCTTATTAATAAAGGGCCTTTATTTTAGCTTTTTGCATTTTAAAGTTTTTAATTAGCTTATTAATTTATAAATAATAAGTTAGCATTTATATATTATAATAATATAAATAATTTATTTATTTAATAAGATATTTAATAATTATTAAGCCTTAGCTTACTTTATAATCTTATCTTTAAATAATCCTTTTTATCTTATAATATTTAAAGGCTTTAAGGCCTTTAGCCTTATCTTTAATAATATTTATAGCTTTTATTAATAAAGAATTATAATTATATAAGTTAAAGCTTAATAACTAAGCTAAGAATAATTAAATAATTAAGATTATTATATATATATTTATATATAGTAAAAGCATTAATTAATATATAAGCTTGCTTATCTTTTCTTAAACCTTAAATAATTTTATTTATTATTCAGAAAACTTATATATTAATTTCCTTAATAAGTTATATTTTTTTCCTAAGAATATATATACTTAATTTCCTAATTAGAATTATATTTAATAATGCTTTTTATTATATTATTGCTTAGCAATTATTTAAGTTTTAATAATTATAATTTAAGCTTTTTTTTAATATAACTTATAAAGTTAAGCAAGCCTTTAATTTATTAATAATAATAATATAAATAAATTAAAGTTATAAAATATTTAATTAATAAAATACTTTATTGCTATATTATATATATTATTAAGATTAAACTATAATAATAATATTAAATTTATTTATTTATAATTTAAATAAATAATTACTATTATTTATATTATTATTTTAATTATTTAATTCTTAACTTTAAATTAGCTATTAATTTATAAGTATTATATAATAAAGAAAAGAAATTTTAAATTTAAACTTCTTTAAAATTTCTATTAAAACTTAAAAAAAAATTTATAATTTTAATTAAAGATAATGCATTTTAAAATTCCTTAATTACTTAAGTAAAGAGTTCTTAGCATAATTTTTACTTAATTTTTTATTATATATATAGTATTTTTTAAAATAATAAGAAAAGCTTTAATATATTTATTTATAATAAATAGAAATAAGTTAAAAAAAGAAGTTTATAATATTTCCTATAAAATATATACCGTTAATATTTTTAAAAGGTTTATAATGAAATTTATAATAATAATATAAAATAATATTAATAATAAAAGGATAAATTATATTTCTCTTAATAATTTTTAATTATTATTTTAATTTATAATGCATATTAAGCAAATATTTAAGTACTTATATATTTTATATTAATAATTTTTAATAATAAATAAGTTTCT